GACGTGCTAATATCTAGACTAGAGTGTCATCCGCATAGCATAATATGACACTAATGCCCGCGAGAAGGACGCCCCGGAGGAGCCAGTTGAAGCCTAGGTTCCACAAGAGGGGACCGAGCACCGAACCCTGCGGAACCCTGCTGGCTACACCGCACCGTTTGAGCTGGCCGTCTCTGTTAACATACAGGACTTCGCGGTCCCGTAAGTAATCGGCCAGCAGCGCTCGAAGGTACTGAGGCACTCTGTGATGTTGAAGTGCCTAGAGTATGGTGGAAAGAGGGATGGTATTGAAAGCGTTGGCTATATCGAATGATACAGCCAACACACCCAAAGCCCTCTCCCTAGCCTCCGCAGTGAGGCTTTTTAGCCTCTGAAGGGCGTCGACCGTTGGTGGTTTGAGTTTTGTTGCATAAAAATAATCTTTAACATTTTTTTTTTCATTTTTTTATCGGGCGTGCTGGGCCCCTGGTCATAGTGGGCCCCTGGCCATAGTGGGCCCCTAGGCACTGGCCTAAAGTGCCTTATGGATAATACGGCACTGGGATAGAGACATGCAATTTTTGGTTTTACAAAGGTAATATAATAGAGAATAATACAAAACAATAAAAACCACCTGTTATAGGGGCATTTTTCGGAGAAATTGATCAAATAACCAAAAAACACGAATTTTTAAGCAGATTTTTTTCAAAAAGTATCATTTTTTATTTTTGTTGGCATTTTTTGTGTATTGTATGTATTTTTTTAGTATCGCCTGTTATTTAGCATTATTACTGTTTTTATTTTATCAGGATTTACTGCTTAGTTTAAAAGTTATTACGTTTTCTTTACAATAAGTAATTGGAAGAAAAAAAATTCTATAAAAAAATTTAAAAAAATCTCAAAAAATGTTTGACCACTTTTTTGTCGATAAAAATAGGTCTAGTTTCATCTATTTTCATATGTACACTTTAACGTGACTCACACTGTATACTATAATTTAAGATAATATTTACTCTCAATTGACAAATAAATACTTTAACTTAAATACTTGTTATTATTGTTTATTGTTATACACCTAGTGTTACATAATAAAGCTGAGCTATTTAAGAAAATCAAACTTCCTGTGGGTTTCAAGCAATTGCTTCTCTTTAATGTATTTTCCTTCTGAAGCAGTGCGTGGTAGTTTATTTTGACTTTCAACAAATAAGGTGAATAGTGTACCTGAAGTCCATTCAATATAATATTTAAACTTTAAAATATTTATAATTAAAATAAAGGGCGGCGGATTTCCGGACGGCCCCGGGCGGCGAAAAGCCACGCTACGCCACTGGGATCATACTAGCACAGATAATATAATACTAGTACAGATGCATCATCCCATACTCGAAATGTGGCCGACCTAAGTCTTGAAACTGCTCGGGCCCGCTTGGTTTCCTAGTGGTGATAACAGATCGCGCTAGTGTGCCGCAGCGGACTTGACCGTCCCGCGGTTTGCGACCCGCTAATGCTTTCTATTCTAGCAACTTGAGCGGAGTATTTATTTGGCGTGCTATATCAAAAGATGGCGCTAAAGCCAATAAGTTTACTGCTTTGTTTATGAAGGCATGTAACTGAGCAAAAAACAGATTAGAGACGCTATTGAAAATTTCGACACGGTATAATAATGTCCAAGTAGCACAACGATCACAGCCGACGCTCAATATCTAGTACCGTGGGTTCGTATCCCGCTACAAATTATCATCATAAAACTCCATTTTGTTTTATTTTATTAGGTATATAAAACAGGAAAATATCGAAACATGCAGTAATAAAGGTAGATATCAATAAAAAACTTATTTTTTCCATAAAAATATTCAGAAATAATTATTATGTAAAAAAAACATAACCCTCCTTCTGGAGCAGTCAAGTAAATATCAAATGAACTGTTCGTAAAAAATACAAAATCCAGTTTTAGTTTTTCGTACTCGTATCGTAGTTTATTCAAAAATATGCCTACATTTTAATCGACTTGCACATACAGGTTTAAGATTTAGGATTATCTGTGATTTAGGTTTAGGTTTTTTGTTGCATTCGTTTGCGCGTCACTCGCGATAATAATAGCACCTACCTATTTATTTACGAGTAATAATACCGCGCTGGCACAAAATATACCTAGGTGGCAAAATCTGGGGGCACGGCAGTGCCCCCACCAAGTCGAGCAAAAAAGCGGCACGGCCGTACCATCCTTTTCTCGAAGCAATTCAGGCCATTTTCGACTGCCTGTAACTTCGTTGTGGATAAAACTAGAAGGCTGAATTTTCATTAGCTATGCAGGCATTGTAAAGACACGGTATATTTAAAATTTCATTCAATTTGAACCAGTAGTTTAGGAATTATAACGGGTCAAAGTTACTTAATTTTGTCACTCACTGACTCACTGACTCACCGATCATCAAAATTCTAAGGCACTTCTAGCAGACCTAGAAGCTTCAAATTTTAATTTCTTCAGTTACTCCGTGACCATAGCGCTTGCAACAGTGCCGAAATATTGGAAACTCAAAACTAAGGTACATGGTAGCAATCCCGTCAGTAATAATAATAGGAAAATGTCTTGAAAAATAAGTAAATCGTATATTACTTTATGTAACTAATTTTATTATGTATCATACTTATAACTAATCACTTCATTCAGAACTAGAAAACGATTCCAAGGATTCCACTTTTCTTCAATAGATGATCAAGATAAAGAGGTATTTATTATAAATTGCTCTTCCAGCATTTCAATTTTATTTACATTGTCATAACATTTTCACCATTCCTCTGCACCAATTTGTGAGGTACACCTGAAACCCCCGATAAAGCAGCATAAGAATAATATTTAAAAAAACCCTCCTTCTGACGCAGTTAGGTAATAAACTAAATGTATCAAATGGCAATGCCAGATTTTGTATGGAAAGTGGCGTCTTTTTTTTTTCGCGCGGCCATCGACCAAACTTTGTTTTTTGATTACAAAATAGTGTAATAAACCAAACTTACTATGGCATGTATACCTCTAAACTCAGTCTGAACTGAGTTACGAGCATTAGAAGTTTGATGATTTTCATACTAGATTTGCTATTTTACAAGAAATATGACAATTAATAAAAATAATAATTTGTTGCAAAACCAAACCTATTTTAGTATTTTTATAAGTGACGAAATAAAACAGCAGCGATGAGCGCCATCTATTACATCATTTGTAACTAAATGCTACTTCGACAGCGCCGCAAAAACGATTGCTTAAGACTTCAGTTTTTACTAAAGATAAAATTTTATTATATGAAGAAATATTGTTTATTTGAATCATTCACTGTGTTTAAATGAACAAATTAATGTGTAAAACATTTTTTCATTATAGTTTACTGAGCATTAGTGACTTTTTACAAACGTCTTCAGAAATTCGATACTTATGTCGCCATCTAGTGAGATTGATTTGGAATGATTCAAGATTTATAGGCATCGGGTTCCCGTGATACTAGTCAAACTAAAACAGTACCCCAAGTAAGCTAGTATCGGTCTTAACACATTAAAATGCGATTTGCGACTTTTACGGGTCTAGAATTCGCGGAGAAAATAGTTTTTAGTTTTTATGTGCTAGCAATTTTTTTTTTTTGCTTTTTAGTGCCCCCCCAAGAGATTGCTTAATTTGCTTATGGGCTAATCCGGCACTGACTGCAGTCCAGGTAATCCAGTTAGTTGAGTTTGCAAAGCAATGACGTCACAAGTTGTCTTTGCCACAAAATCTATGGAGGAGTCGCCTTTTGACATCTCATTAAAAAGGATGTAACTCTAGACTGGTATCACAATTACCCTAGCCGTCAAACCAAATAACGATGTCGTCAAACTGCATCTCAAACTCCATATAAATACACTTCATACATACCTTGAATACGTCTCCAAGGTTCTCCGTGAACACACTGGACGACAGGCCCTGCTCCACTTCATTATTGTATGCTATTCCAGTATCCAAGTCGGGGATCGGGATGCAATAAACGATTGGCGCGAAGCATTCGCTCTTGACCAAGGGAGAGTCGTGTGGTAGACCAGTCACGATGGTCGGCTCTACGAAGTAGCCTTCGCGTTCGATCACCTGGAATTTTGTTGATTTAGAAAAGGTACTGATAATTTACATTTTATGACGATTATGAAAATATTCTAAAACCACGTCAAGTGATCGCATTCAAAATTTTACGCGCAGCAGCGTAGACTAGATATTTAAAGCATCGAATAATTATCAAGGAGCCGAAAATGAAGTGCCCATTGATTCTGGTTGAATTGACCTATGCTGTTACTTGTGTATTATGCGGATACGTGATAATATTAATTGGTTAAATTTTTTGGTCCTCCGAGCCGGATATTGTGGCAGCGTCATGCAGGTATTCATAGTCTACAAAAATTTATATTATAGTCAACTTGCTGTCAACTTTACATAAGTATTAAAACTTACTTTTCCTCCAAATTCGATAGTTCCTCCCTGCTTGACGATTTCCGCCACAGTCTTCTTGTACGCCTCGACGGCGGCGGGCGTGTGCAGCGGCCCGATCAGAGTCTCAGACAGCAGCGGGTCTCCGATTTTGCTGACCACGCCTGCGTATGCCTTCTTCAGGCGGGAGACTACTTCGCTGTATACCTGTCACAAATAAAAATATTAGAATACCCCATTTAATTCCATAAAAGAAACTGAGGGATAATCTTATTATTTGTTTGCGGTAAAGTAAATCGTCAGTTCGGTCAAATAGTTATTCATAATGTACAAAGTATCGTCAAAATTTAACACATATTGTGCTGGGCCGCACCTCCCATATTGTTTGTTTTTTGTAAGATTTTAGTACTGCTGGATGCGCGACGCGGTGCGGCATCTACAGGTACGTGTTTGTGAACGTGCATGAGCGTAAAACAGAGTTGGAGAAAATTGCAGGGAGTCTGGATGCCTTTGTCCAACAGTAGACGACCTTGTAGTGTAAGTAGGCGCCTGGTAATAGTGCAGCGCTGGCACGCGTTGGTCGTTAGGAAAAAAAATATGCGAGGTCTTTGTCCAACCGTGAACGTCTTACGGTTGAAAAGGAAAGACAAAGAACTTGAATATTAACCTTGTTAAGTATAAGCAGGCGCCTAGTAGTAGTGCAGCGCCAACCCGCGATGACTATGACTATAATAATATGTCCAACAGTGGTGAAAAAGACAAAAGAATATTAACCTTGTTGTGTATAAGCAGGCGCCTAGTAGTAGTGCAGCGCCAACCCGCGATGACTGTGACTATAATAATATGTCCAACAGTGGTAAAAAAGACAAAAGAATATTAACCTTGTTGTGTATAAGCAGGCGCCTAGTAGTAGTGCAGCGCCAACCCGCGATGACTATGACTATAATAATATGTCCAACAGTGGTAAAAAAGACAAAAGAATATTAACCTTGTTGTGTATAAGCAGGCGCCTAGTAGTAGTGCAGCGCCAACCCGCGATGACTATGACTATAATAATATGTCCAACAGTGGTAAAAAAGACAAAAGAATATTAACCTTGTTGTGTATAAGCAGGCGCCTAGTAGTAGTGCAGCGCCAACCCGCGATGACTATGACTATAATAATATGTCCAACAGTGGTAAAAAAGACAAAAGAATATTAACCTTGTTGTGTATAAGCAGGCGCCTAGTAGTAGTGCAGCGCCAACCCGCGATGACTATGACTATAATAATATGTCCAACAGTGGTAAAAAAGACAAAAGAATATTAACCTTGTTGTGTATAAGCAGGCGCCTAGTAGTAGTGCAGCGCCAACCCGCGATGACTATGACTATAATAATATGTCCAACAGTGGTAAAAAAGACAAAAGAATATTAACCTTGTTGTGTATAAGCAGGCGCCTAGTAGTAGTGCAGCGCCAACCCGCGATGACTATGAATGACTATAATAATATGTCCAACAGTGGTGAAAAAGACAAAAGAATATTAACCTTGTTGTGTATAAGCAGGCGCCTAGTAGTAGTGCAGCGCTGGCCCGCGGTCCCGGCGCAGGCGAAGAGCGCGGCGTTGAGCAGGAGATCCAGGTTGGCGTCCGCGTTGACGACGATCGCGTTGTTGCCGCCAAGCTCTAACAGGTGGCGCCCGAAGCGGCGCTGCACTTCCACGCCCACCTGGAGTAGGTAAGTCAAGATTTAAATGTTAGTTAATCGATGCTTTAATAATTATGCTCTCGAAAAGCCCTCAACCTCCTAAGCACTAAGGGGTAAAGGGGTACTCCCTTTAAGTACCTTTTTTACCCAGGAAAATGGCCTATCCATATCTACCGCCGGAAGACGGCAGCATACGTGGGGCTCGAAGTTCGAACCCACTAAAAACTTGGGGTGTTCTCTCTGGCGCATAGTGGTCGGCGCCTTGGGTACAAGAATTGACACAATAGAAATAAATTATTACCTTTATACCTCTCATGCGTGGCACAGGATTCCACGAAAATAATTATACTTAATACTCGTAAAGTGGGCATCAGGTTTTGTATTATTTTTGACTACGTCATGTCGAAAAAGCAGCGCTTATTGCGGTCAGCATTGTCAGCTTATAAACTGACCGACCTAGCAAGAAAAAATCCTTACCTGCTGACCAACAGCAGTGCTTCCAGTAAAAGACACCAGCTTCATCCTGTGGTCCTTGACGAGAGTTTCACCGATGTCTCTCCCTCCCACACAGAGAGATGCGATAGCGCCGGGGAGGTTGTTCTTTTGGAGCACGCTTTCAACAATCTTGGTGACGGCTACCGCGGTTAAGGGGGTTGTGTCTGAGGGCTTCCATACGCTTACGTCGCCGCATACCTGTAAAATAATAATCGGTTGTATACTTAATGCCACATACCTGCATGATAAATGATCGGTTTGTAATGCCTATGAATGGAAGCGTTCAGGCCATAGAGGCGTCGTCAAACGGTTTTTGTCCAGACTACAACCGTTTTATATGCAAAACTGCCATGGCTGCAGATACTACCATGAACCAGTGGCAATATGGCTATTTTATTTATTTATTTTTTATTTTATTTTTATTTTACAAGGAAAACAATACAGTGTTGAAACTATGTAGACTAACATTTTAGAAAACTTATAACCATTAACATGTTTTCACATTTAGAGCCTGAGTAATGCTTGTTTATCAATAAAAAAAAATAGAAAAGAAGTTACCAAGCCAGAGTTACCTACTACTAATTAAATTAAAGCTTAATACAAAAAAAAAGCACCTTTCAAGAATGCACATCAAACCAGTCTTTGAAGAGATTTCGTTTAACACTATTTATGCTGGAATTGAATAAATCAATATCGGAATCGCCAGCCATAAGGTTAAAGACATTAGCAGCTCGAATAAAAAATGAGTTCTTCCTGTAATTGCTATTACTATGAGGAACAGAAAGAGTAATGGGTCGTCTTAAAGTCCTGCTAGGAGCACGTAGATTTATTAAAGAAAGGAGGTGTGGGGAATCGATCTTACATTGGGCTACTTTTAATAGAAAAGTGATGTCTGCTATTTNAATAAGTATTAGTAGGATACAATTATGTTATGTAGAAACAAACAAGACAAAAAAAATGTATACTTCAGCAACGCGAATTTTTTTATACTTCAGCATATTTAGGACACCCGGCAGCGTGTCCTGCCATGATCAAAGAAAAAAGAACTCGCAATTTAGCAGGTACATTAAACGAGGTCACAAAATTCGGAAAGAACATAGCGAAATCTATTTATTCACCAATTTTCAAAAAATCCGGAAAACTTTCTAAGTAAAATTAACAAATAACTGGACTATTTACTCGTTATTGAGCACAGAGACGCAAACTTGGTTATTTTTCCAGAAAATTTATATTTAAGTGCATAAATGTAAAAATGGCTTCATAGTGCACAAAATTGGCAATAGTTGGCATAATAATGGTTACTTTTTAGGGCCTAGTTTGAAATGTGATTGAACGATGACAACTAACAACAGTTGTCAGTTAGGTAAAATTTTATTTTAGTTGGAAAAAGACAAAAAGTGGTAAATGGGTTAACGTGCGGGGGCTGCAAAATCATGTTGTGACGTCACTCGCGAATATTGGAAATTTTTGAAAATTTTTAAATGTCCGTAAACTTCTCGAGGCTCTATCTTCGGTAATACTGGATGGATTGAGGTGAAATAAAAACTAGTGTAATGTGTGTGATCTAAACTTTAAATTAAGTCATAATTTAACTTAATATTACAACTTATGCGTGTTGTCCATTGTCATCGTCCAGCAGTGGACGTGATTTCGCTGAAACTATACCAACTCTTAACGAAAAGGTAAACCATAAAACCAACGCAGGGCCTTCTTTTCCACTAGGCACTCTGGGCACGTGCCCAGGGCCCCGCGATCGAGGAGGCCCCCGTCTGTTCTCATAAATTAAAGACCTTTCTCCAGATGAGAAGGGCCTCACTTGATCTTTACGTGCCCAGGACCCCTAGTAGGTAGGTTAGGTAAAGTCTGGTCTGCGAGCACGTAGAATTTTGTCCAGACCAGAGCCCCGATTACGGTAACTTTTAACGTCAACAATCCAGACACGCTTCTCGATCCTGCGATACGATTGGTCGTTCAACAGCGTACGTCAGCTGTTTTGACCAATCGTGTCGCAGAATCGAGAAGCGTGTCTGGATTGTTGACGTTAAAAGTTACCGTAATCGGGGCTCTGGCTTTAATTAGTATGGAGCAATACCAGACCAGGCTTTAATTAGTATGGAGCAATAAAGAATTTGAATTTGGTCAAAGATGGCCCTGAATCAACGTACCATAGCAATAGCGCTGTTCCACCCAAACACAGCGACAGGGAAGTTGAACGCCGTGATGACGCCAATCAGTCCCAGTGGGTTCCATTTCTCGAGCAGCACGTGTCCCGGCCGCTCCGATGGGATGATTGTCCCGGGTAACGTGCGGGACAGTCCCAGGGCCAGGTCGCACACGTGGATGTATTCTACTACCTCTCCGATGGCTTCGGGCAGGATTTTACCTGGGATATTACATGGAAAATTAATCATTTCATGTAGATGATCATGGATGATGTTTTTAGTAAGATCTAGATGATTACTCTTAGAATTGATTATTCGTCAGACGGTAGGAAGTTGGAGAGAGATATATCTACAAGAAACATTGTTGTGTGCGTTTTAAATGATTTAGATTTGAAAGACTGTGGAATAATCTCTAGGACGTGAGAATTTGGATTTTTTTTTAAAGATTTAGCAATGTGTATTGCCCAAATTACTAATAGTCCCATTAGCCCCTCGTGGTAAGCTAAATAAGCTTGTATTACGAGTGGGCTCACCACAATAGTCGAGCGGCGGTGGGATTCGAACCCGCGTTCCTCGGATCTCGAGTCGGCCACTCCGACCCCTTCACCGTTCGGCTATCGTGGCTATGGAATTGAACTCCCTGACATCAACGAAAACTTACAATACAATCTATGAACTCTTGGGTGGTCAAGCTGAATTAGTGGACTTCGACATTAAATGACCTTAACTTTATGCACAAAATACCTACCTCAACTGGAAGGTATAAGTCGGATATAACACCTACAACAGTTTGCTTTTATTTGTATCGCTATACGAGTAAGTTTTCTCACCCATTTCCAAAGAGACAAGCTGCCCCAAAGGCTGGAGCTTCTCTCTTAACGCGTCCCCGATCTGCCTGACGACTTCGCCCCGCGCGGGCGCCGGCATCTCTCCCCACATGTGCCACGCCTCCTGCGCCGCCACCACGCTCCTCTCATAGTCGCTGGTGGTAGCTGTCTGGACCTCCGCGATCACTTTGCCGTTGGCTGGGCTGTACGACTGGATCACCTGTAAAAGATCGTAAGGCCGCAGCCTCGAACTTAGCGGGCAGCGGGGCGGGAGCGGCGGCGGCGCTGGAGCGGGGCGGGCAACGCAGACCCGTTCTCGAAACAAGCGGGCAGCTCGCGCGGCGCTTTAGCGGCGAAGTGTTGTGTTCGGGGTTGTGTTGTCGAGATATTTGTTTTTATTCGCAAACGAAATATCTGAACAACGGCGACAATTTTATTTCGATTCAAATTTATTCCTAACGCTCGATTTATTGTGGGCAAAAGAAGGAGTGCGCTGCCCGCTCGTTGCCCGCTCCCTCGCCGCTGCCCGCTCGTTGCCCGCTGCCGCGCCGCTGTTTTCGAGAACCGGTCCATTTGATTTTACGCATAAGATCCTGCCGCTCCCGCGCCGCCGCCGCCCCGCTGCCCGCTAAGTTCGAGGCTGAGGCCTAAGAGATTGGATGTAGTAATTTTACCCAAATGATATCTTCATCAAGGTCATTTAATATCTACTGCAGGAGCACAACCTCCTCTAACTTGGCCTACAATACCCATGGTAGACGGATTAGTTAGATAAATGAGACATAGCAAAAATTAAATGAGTTTTATGAGTTTTTTTTAGTTTTTTAGAGGTATTCCAAAAAATATTAATTTTATATTCCTGCAGTTCCCGATGAATGGAAAGTGTAAAGGAAGTGACATAATTCGCTGAGCTTACGCTAAGTACGGAATTTATTTAAAGAAATTACGTATAGTCCAGGCGCTAAGCACCACGCGTACACACGTAGCGTAGGTATTTAACTATTTACTCTCTTTTTGTATTCTATATTTTCTTAACAATGAGTCATTGATTCTGAATACAAGTAGCAGATGGTTCGAGATTAATTCATTGATAATAATTTACACAGTTAATACATACCGGTCCACTAGCCTCCCATTTCCCGTTGAACACGCCGACATTTTTATCACTGAGCCCGAGCTCCTTAAGGAAGGAGTATTTAGGGTCTTGAATAAGGAACGATCCGTTGCGAGCCATGATCACTCTCGTGGTTGTATGCTGCAGAGACAACAAGCCGCGACACACTACGCGATGCATACTAAGTACCGGCGCGGTCGTTGTTCAAATAGGAGTATTAAACTGAAACCGGCGCTCCTCGTAAACAGCTTTATCTTATTTGTGACAATTAAAGCGGAGGCCTTATCAGCGCCGATAAAGTCCGTTGCTGGGTCATGACCATTATTTGCTAGATTGTTTACTGAATAAAATTATATCACAATTTACACTAAAGTTAGGCAGTTAGGTAGGTACACAGATATTAAAATACTAGTGTAGGTATAATATCTACACAATTTGATAACATAGAGTACTTTGGTGTAAAATCGATGGAACTTATTACTGGAATTATTTTAATTAGTGTTACAGTTAAAATTTAAACAAAGATAACACTTTATTTGCAGTCTGTCTGTGAGCAAAAGTTTTTAGTACTCTTTGCCAGTTTATGTCTAGAGTAATATTTATTAATACTATTATAGCACTAAAAATAACAATAAAGAAGAGAGATAAATGAAATAAAAACACTTGAATAATAAATACTTATGAAATATTTGTACTTGTAAACATTTTTACAACAACATAGACTTTTCTGTATCTATATTTAATTTAAAGTACCTTTAAACTAACACATAATTGAACACTACTTGTATCACATGATGGAACAGAAGCTTTTTTCAACTTTTTCGTCTTTTCCTTCTCTGATTTCTTTTGCTTTTATTGCTAATAAGGTGTTCTCGTCCCTTTTGACCATCCACTCTGGTAGGGGCTTTGCCCAGTCTTCAGGAGGCGCGTCACGTTTCTTCCAGGTGTCGTTTCTGTAGTGAGCCCTTAATCTTTCCATTCGCCTCGCCTTTTCACTGTTTATCACTGCTTCCTGTAATTAAAATGGAGTTTGATCAATTATGTTATGTTAACGAAAGTTTAAATGCTATTCAAACACTAATTAGCTTCTTAAAGATAGACATAATGAGAATGACTGTGTGATTAAAATCAATCTACATGCATACAGTTTTATACAATAAGTAGAACTTCTATTTAAAAAGACAAGTTTTACAATCCTCTAGGAATATATTTTTAGACTAATTAACAATACTGGTTAGTTTGTCGGTTAATTAGTATTGTTAATTAGACTAAAGACTAGAGATGAAACGGATATCCGGTAACTATCCGGTAGGCCGGATATCCGGCCTAAATTTACTATCCGGCCGGATACCGGATAGTAACTCACTATCCGGCCGGATACCGGATATTAAAAAACTACGACAATTTCCTATTAATAAAATGAAATACATAAATCTTTGAGGTAAATATCAATAAAATGGCTTTTTATAATGACGGCTTTTATTTAAAGTCCAAAAAGTTACAAAAAAGCCATATCAAGGCCTTTCAAAAAACTTTTTTTTTTTTCAGGTCTATTTTCACTCTAATGACGAATACATAAATAGTAAATATCTGTTAATGTCAAAATATGTATTGCCAAATAACTAGGCGATCTTTTTTTCACTGATGGTCTGACGACATGATGCTGTTCAGTCAGATTATGCAGCAAGTAAACTAATTTCATCATCATCATCATTTCAGCCATAGGACGTTCACTGCTGAACATAGGCCTCCCCCAATCCTTTCCATGTTGATCGATTGGTAGCGGCCTGCGTCCAGCGCTTCCCTGCTAACTAATTTAATTATCACTATTCAATCATACACTCACGATGGCAACCGAAATCGCTCGAATGTGTGCTTACCATGAGTTTACGTTAGGTGTGCTCGCTAGCGAGTGCGTCAAAAATTCTATGAAGGTTTTAGTTCTTGAAAGTAGCCGCTAGGGGCGCTGTACAATCGGTTATACATGTAATTTTAATGTCACTTTTTTACGCAGTCGCTAGCGAGCACACCTAATGTAAACTCATGGTAAGCACACAGCCCCCTAGTCAAGTGGCAAAATCTGACATTCTATCGGACGGATTCGATTTTCGAAGTGTGACTAGTCTAGTCTACTAATAGACCCACTGATCGCGTTCGAAGCATTTGTGCAGCGCTAAACTCGTCACGACATGCAATGAGACAATAGGCCAACTATCCGGCCGCCGGATATCCGGCTATCCGGCCTAGCAGCTGGCCGGATATCCGGTATCCGGTATCCGGCCAAACAACTATCCGTTTCATCTCTACTAAAGACTCCTAGAGCATCAATAAATTATTATAGATACAGAAAATTTCATATTTATTTAACCATAAGAATAACAGTGTTTTCTTCTTGTGGAATACATTGTAATACTTTTACTTTATTAAGATGGAAATTTATGTATCCTAGTACATGCAATTAAATAAAATTAATTTAATTTAACTTACAGCAGCTTTCACATCCTTCTTATTGACCCATTTGCAGCAATTATCATGGTCTCTCTTCCACTGATTACAATCTAACGTGCGGCCGTAAATAAAATACTGGTGGAACCTCCCTCTAAAGCTGGTGCATTCGTCATATTCGTCCTCATATAAACTGCAGTCTCTTATCTGGAAGGAAATCATTTGTTATTTAACCAATTTTATTTTATTGTTTCTAGGCAGATTTACACGTTATGTGATTTATATGAAGCTAATTCTTTTAGCTAAGCATGGTACATAACAGTATTTTAAAATATTACATTAACAGTCTGTATAATATAGATAACTAGCTTTTGCCCGCGGCTTCACCTGCGTGAAATTTAGTTTGTCACATATCGTCATAAATTATAGCCTATGTGTTATTTTGGGTTATAAACAATAATACCTACCGTAAGTTTCATCAAAATCCGTTCAGTAGTTTTTGCGTGAAAGAGTAACAAACATCTAGACATCCAAACTTTCGCATTTATAATATTAGTAGGAAGTAGGATTAAGAAAGTAATAATATTTTAAACCTGCCATCTAAGGCCAGATGGTTGAACCACTTTAGACGGAATATACATACCAGCCATTTATCTTCAATAATAACTTCGTCTGCTTTACTATTTTCTTCCGTAACTTTTGGTTCAGTATCTGTAGCATTTTCAGTGCTTTGAGACATTTTATAAGAATAATTTAAAAGTTTATTACATAACCTCTAAATCATTAAAACTTAATTTAAGTAGCCCAGTTGTTCAGAAGTTTGAGTCCATAAACATATAACACCTCAAATATAAGAGTTTAATTCATTAAATAAGAGAAAACTTCAAAATAGTGTAATAAACCCTAATTTACAGAAAAACTTTTAGGTTATGGCAATTTGACAATCAGCTGTTATTTTGACGGCAAAATATTTTTTTTTTGCACAGACTGGTTGATTCGAGCAGCAAAGGGGGCTTTGAAAAAAGGAGACGTTAATGGTTCTTATTCTTCTTGCCAAAAATGCTCAAATGTGCGCATTGAAATAAAAATGTGCTGTAAACAAAAGCATGTCAACATTCAACAAAATTGCCCACAAAAAATGTTGAATATCGACACTTTTAGTTGATTGTGTACAGCAAAACACGCGCTTGAAAGCATCGTTTGGATAGGGATTATTATATCGTTAAAAACATTATTGTTATTAAATAAAACTATTTTAGCTTACAAAAACTTGAAGTGCGTTAATCTGATCGACTCCTAGTTCAATATCTCGATGGACTTTTAAAATGTGTTCATTAAAAACTTGGATAATCGTTCAAATAATAATATTGACAATTTGACACTGATGACAGACATATGGTAAAAAAAGCGTTTGCTTTCCTATGTATAGTTCCAAAATACTGAACTGTCCTATCGATGACATTGACAGCGGGGCGCCACCGTCAATACCGAATCGCTGGTTTCGATTTTTGTCATGTTGGAAACCATAAAGTTGAACGATGGTAGCGCCCCCCTGTCATTGAGTTTGGCGGGACAGTTCAGCGTGGGTCATCTATATTACTTTTCTCTATGGTTTGCGTTATCATCATGAACTTTGCACTTTTGATAAACATGAACGCATAAAAGCGAAAGATTCCTACGATTACACTGTTAGATTGGTAAATTATAGTGGTGTGTCACGTAACTGTGCTACAGCAAAATGTCACTCAATAAATTAGTAGGAGGTGACTGCGGTGGAAATAATTCATTGGTACAGCTCTCCAGTATCGTCGGTCGAGATGCATCTTTCTCGCAACCTCTTTCTCAGGCGGACAGCTTTGTGCACGAATTTATGGCCCAGAACTCTCAGGTGCCACAAACGTTCAACATGAACACTCTTCTCAATAATTTGCCAGTTTCGGATCAAGCTAAAACCACACAACCACTCAACACAAATCATCAAGTTCAGAACTTCATACCTCAAGCCAGCCGGCCTTGGTCAGCAGGGCCATCAGTTTCCTTCATGCCTCCAACAATGATGAGGCCATTTCAAATGCCTCACCAGCCTTTTCTTCATGCTCCAGGTCCTTCTAATGTTCAAATCCAATATCTGAATGAATCTGAATTAGAAAACACTGATGTCAAAGCTAAGGCTCAAGAATATGTGAACAGTGTGAAGGATGATGATGAACTTGCTTACAATCAGTTTATGAACTTTATGAAAAAAATAAGTGCAGGAGAGCTCAACTTGGGTGCAACTACTGAAGACCAGAAAAAGCTTAGTAAAGATGAGATTTTAGATGAAATGACAGAAAAATATAAAGATGAATGGGCTAAGCTCAGTGATGTTTCTGACTACTGGGGATCAGAAGAAGCAAATGGCATTAGTAAAGAATATAACTTCACTGAAGCAAATGTTATGTTAGAAAATAAGAGTGCTCTTGAAATAGGCAAGGAGAAATTGAAAATGGGAGATATACCAGGAGCAGTGCTGTGCTTTGAAGCTGCAGTACAGCAGGCTCCAGACTCTGCTGAGGCATGGTTCCTGCTCGGCACTACTCAAGCTGAAAATGAACAAGATCCTCTGGCCATAACCGCCCTGAAGAAGTCTCTAGAAATAGACCCCAGGCAATTGGAAGCCTATCTAACTCTGGCTGCAGCTTACACAAATGAGAACATGTCCAAATATGCGTACATGTCATTATTTGATTGGTTGAAAGCTAGTCCTAAATACAGTGACCTGTGTCCCTTAGATATTGATCCTAAAAATTTAGATATCAAAGACTTGGAGAACCATGTGAAGACATTTTACATCAAAGCAGCACAATTAAACCCAAATCAGATTGATCCTGATGTGCAAAATGGTTTGGGTGTGTTGTTCAACATAAATCAAGAGTATGACAAAGCTGTAGACTGTTTTAAAACTGCTTTAAGTGTTGCCAGTGATAATGCAAAGTTGTGGAACAGACTGGGAGCCACACTGGCTAATAGTGAAAGGTCTGAAGAGGCAGTTGAAGCTTATCATCATGCTTTGAATTTGGAACCCGGGTTCATCAGAGCCAGGTACAATGTGGGCATCACTTGCATGAATTTAGGAGCTCACAAACAGGCAGCAGAGCACTTCCTTGTGGCATTGAATCAGCAATACAAATCTAAGAGTTTGCATCCAAGTTCATCCTCTGTAGACACCAGCTCCTCAACTATTTGGACCACTTTGAGAATGGTTTGCTCTTTTATGGGTGAGCATGATGTGGCCAAGTTAGTTGATGAGAGGAATTTATCAGAGCTAAATAAGTTTTTCGAAATTGAGTAATACTGTTACACAATAGTGACCTTGTTTCAATATAATACACTTACAAATAATAATTTTATACTTTGAACACTAAAGGTGTGATAAAGGTGTAGATAAGGGGATATTGGGATTAGTTGTAAATATCTATTTTCCAGATCTGAGGCATTTAATAAATGAGGGTAATATACAGGGTGTTAGGTATATGGGTATATGAGCCGACACTAGCCCATGTTAACATGGTCATATAAATAGTATGGTGAAGTCAGAAAATTGATATCTTCATTTTAATTATTTTAATTTTCATACAAATCGGATTTTATAAAATTTATTTTGTATGACAATTAAAAAAATTAAAATGATGATATCAAATTTCTGACTTCACCATACCATTTATATGACCATGTTAACATGGGCTAGTGTCGGCTCATATACCCATTTACCTAACACCCTGTAGATTATGTATAGTTTCAATTATACTATTATATGTATAATTAAATTACTATATCTGTGGTATAATAAAGTTAATAATTATAGACTGAATTTATAAATAAATATATTTTATAAATAATTTTTTTATTTAAAGTTTTATACAAGCTATTATAATACATATCTACATAATAATCATATTATTCTTACATAAATATAAATACACTCACTTTTGATGTAAATAACTACACTTACTGTCTATTAGTGGGCAACCTTGTGGATGATGAGCATAAAACCAACAAGATTTTCGCTTCACTTTTATGTTTTTATTAGGCTTGGAGACATTTTTGCTCACTTCATCAATATTTTTAGGATACCGTAACTGAACTTGACCACTTTGCACTTTAAAAATATGATGATGATTCCTCAAAAGAGTTTGTAGTCCACCACATTCAGCTTTCATGGCTTTCAGTTGGTCCTCATTTAACAAATGGATTAGTTCACATAAATTCACTAACCTACCACAAGACCATTCAGTCTCCAAATTACAACCTTGCAGTAAATAATTTGCAATGCAATTTACCATTGATTCTATGGTACCTTTGTCTATTTTGGTGCAATTTCTTATCCTTTCTACTGGATCTCTAGCTTTGAAGTCTGCCACCCAAGGGTCAGATTTGCTAGCTTTACTGTCTGTACATCCACAACTGTTATCTATTAACTTTTTGATGTCATTGCAATATTCTAAGTACATGTCTTCTGTATGTGATCTCTTTTGTCCCACAAGGCATATCCTTTTAGTACTAGGAATCTTTAGCCTGTCCACATGTGTGACAAATCCACAACTTTCACATAAATCTTTCACATACTCTAGATATTCCATGTACTGACTTTTAGAAGAGTCTTTTCTTTGGTATTTACTACCATCAAAATTAAAAGCACAACATGGGAGAAGGAAAAAATTGCATTTGTAAGAACTTCTGGCAGCAATAACTGGAATCCATGGTGTAAGTTCATCTGAGTGGTTTCCAATTAGCCAATCAGCTTCAGGGAATAAATTCAAATCTGATGGTATTATTGTTTTTATCTGAAAATAACAGGTAAGCACAATTTATTAAATAAGATCTACATTTAATATTCCAATGTAAATTATATTTTACTGGATTCTTACCTCTAGTTTCACATCATCAGGATACATATCCCATATTTGTCTTTTTCTCACATCTATGCCCACTCCAGTATGTCCTTCTTTAGTTAAAATATATACCAATAACCCATTGCCACAACCAAGGTCTACAAAAGTTTTCTTTTTATTTTCTTCATTTCCATTTTCCCACAGCAACAATAAATATGTAGCTATTGCAACATCCTCATAGACAAACTTCGAGGGGTCTGTTACTTCTGGCCAAATCTAGAAATGATAATTAGAAATGTTAACTATGTAGGTATACTACTTATTAAAAAAGTGCACAAATTATAGATAGTTATTACCTCAACCATTTCTTTACCATATTTGAGTTTTAGCTCATTATACTTTTTGTAATAATCATCTGTTGATATCAAACTCAAAGATTCAGTACACATGTGCTTCTTTACATTTTCTTCCTCTCCCCATTTCACAACCTGTGGCAGTACTTGCTTTACTAGCCATTGGTATGATTTTGAGTTAGAAACATTGTCTGTAAAGATAAAATATTTTAAGCAGTATAAATAAATGCTTTACAGTGTTATAAAATTATGTCTGTATAAGTAATAGCCAACCTAAATTAGTTTTCAATGACAATATCCCATTTTCTAAAGCAAGTGAATAAATAAAATCAGGACACAAGTTTTGGTTATATCCTTCTGGTGTTATATCATAGAAAGTTACAAGCTCTTTCCCTTTTTCCATAAGAATTAGCTGATATGCTTTCTTCTGTGAATATAATTTTGGAAGTAATTCAATTATAACAACTGTTGCACAAGCATCAACTTCTTCAGCTCCAATACACTGTTCTATTTGCAATTCCTTGAATAGTAAGTCTATGTCTGGCTGAGGATCTCCTTTAACTTGCAATTTTGTACAAGTTTTGGGATGCTCCCACATATTATTTGTAGGTTTGCAACAACAACTGAAAATTGTATTGCAACCCCATAACCTTTTATTAATAACATTGAATTTGGTTATCAAAATATTGACGGACTTCCAAAATAATTCTGGGGACATTGAAGTCTGTATGAACATTTTCTATTGCTTTTCAAAAATATTGTTTAATGATACAGAAAGTTACAAAGAAATAGGTGGAAAGTAAGTTCAATCAAAAAACTTCTCTTCTTCTTCTTTTATTTTGGCCAACGTGAAATGAGAACAAGTTTTTGTTGACAAGTGTCAATGTCAATAATGACATTAGCGTTCAGAAATAAAATTACGACTACCAATGAACTATCATTTATATGGAGGCGCCTTATTTACAGAATGTCCTCAACAAAGTCACACTGGCTGCACAGTGGACTGGACACTGGCTGGACACCGGAGGTAAATGGGCCTATCGATCTGTATAAAAAATCCTACTTACGTATGGTAAAGTGAGATAAATGATGCATACCCGTCATATTTTAATTTTTATTTTACCGTCTTTTAAAAAGAAATAGCATCAGTAACAATACCCATTTTACTTTTCAATTCACGTTTTTTTTGTAGGTATGGTCAATTCATAGACTTATGAAATCAATGAGGACTCCTTACCATTTAATTAATTTATCGATAACTAAAGCTAACACAAAAACATCACATCACTAAAGCTAATATGTCAACGTCACAGTGAGTGAAAAGTTGTCAAAAAACGTCAATTACGTCAATGCTATTGTCATCCAAAAATATTTTTGTATTTTGCCTATTTTTTTACTTAGTTTTTCCTAGAATTATATAAAGATCTGGATTATTAGTTGCATTGGAATATAATAAATTAGTTGGATGCATGTAGGTAATGTCATACACTGAGCTCGAACATGGGTACCAAGGGTTGCGGCAGGCTTCTCGTCAACCTCAGTTTTATGTTGGCGATGATGGTAATCTTGTCCCAATAAGATCACCGGTGAGTCTTTTACGATTGGAAGTTCAATCTTTGTAACATTATTGAAACGATTTTAGTATACATAATGTTATACCTTGGCAAGTTGTTCACACAAAGGAATTGCTAGTAAACTGTTGAAACAAACTATAGTTCTCTATAATTTGAAATGAACACGATTACGCAGAACTTAATCTTTATCTAGTAGGTAATATTGGATCACCCCAAGGCTTGTTATGGCTTAAATATTATCACTTTAGTTCAAATGTTTGTCCGTATTATCCTGCACTAGTAGAGCTCACTGATAAGGTATAAATTAAAGTGGCAATTTGTTCAGAACGTAGACAACAAGCGGCTCTGTCCTATCTATTAGCATATAAATAGTTACACAAGGCGAATATTTATAGCTACAAGTGCTCAACTGACAATGACATGTGAGGTAATGCAATATGTTAATTCATGTCAAGTTTATCTCAGTTATCATGTACACAGTGTGTAGGCCAATCATGGGCGAGGTTGTTCATTTTCCTTATCAGTAATTTTTCAATCATGATTTAAGTGATAGTATTAGTGTGTGATGGAGTGGCAGTGGTTAAAGGACTGGTGGCGCCTCAAAAGATGGAGGAACAAAAAAAAGAAGGAGCAAAGTGATGACGAGTTTTGTTATTGTGACGAATGCTTGCCAGATGTGAGCATAATTTGAATTGATTAACACTGGGGTCAATAGTGCTGTTTATGAATCTGTGCACCTACTTGCCATCGATTGTGGCTTGTGATGTGAAAATAAAATATTGTTGACCATTAATAAGTAATTTGTAGTGGTAAAATTTTGCTGTACTAGCTGTCAACAATTATTATGACCCAATTTATAAGATAACAAGTGTCTCGGGACTTAGTGTGTTTAATTAAATATGATTCTCAATATCATAATTATCTTTAAATTACAGTACTCAAAGAATAATATTATATGGGCTCTACAATATTTTATTTCAACATAATTAGGTTTTGTTACACATTTTTTACTTACACATCTACTTATTTTACAATAATTTAATTTGAAGTTAAAATGTTTAAAGATGTTCTAAATGCTAGTATTTTTCAATTTATGATCCTCACTAGCAATAATATAAACACCTCCACCTGAAAAGCGATTTAGAAATATTAAATTGATTGTGAAGTTGAATACATGCTTAATAACATCAGGGCGAGTTGGATCTGTGCGACTCGCTGGACCCGCACTGCGATGGCGGCAAAAAGGTGGTGGTCGGCGTCTGCGCCATGGCCAAGAAGTCGCAGTCGAAGCCCATGAAGGAGATCCTCACCCGCCTCGACGAGTTCGAGTACATCAAGATGCTCGTCTTCCCAGAGGAGGTTATCCTTAAGGTTCTCCCAATATCTAACCTTTATAGTGGAACAAAATAATATAAACTTATATTACAAACGTATCGTACACCCAAAATTTCCATTGCGCTTAATGTGAATTCAGTTTGCTTATGTAGAGTAATAATTTGCATTGGTAATCCATTGGCCTTGAAGTATGTTTTTGCAGGTATAACATTGTTTCAGCGTATTTTGTTTCACTATTACTTGGTGATATTTTCGTAGCAGTCTTTTCATTAACAACTTCCTATGATTAAAACTTTCCTGTAGATTAATAGAGTAGGAGTACATAATCACACTTAGAATGTGGGTACCGTTTATGATGTCGTGCGAAGCAACAATAATTCCATTGAATGGCTTCAGTAATTTACACTTACAAGCTTTGTTGGACGCGGGCGGTGTCGGGTTTCGAATAGATCGCTAGTGTTTACTCGTTCGCCATATTTTCCGCCGCCTATACTATATGTTCATTGCTCTTGCGGTCATGTCGTTCGAGTCTGTTAACTCATTGTGCAATTTTATTATAGAAACGAGTGGAAGAATGGCCAATTTGTGACTGTCTAATCTCATTTCACTCAAAAGGCTTCCCCTTAGACAAAGCCATTCAATATGAGAAGTTAAGGAAGCCTTATGTTATAAACAATCTTCACATGCAGTATGATATACAGGTATGGGCTATTTTAAGTAGAATTTCTACTGTACTTAGTTACTCAATATCATATTTCTCATCTGTGGTATTACTTTCAGGATCGTAGGAAAGTTTATGCAATATTAGAGAATGAGGGTATAGAAATTCCGCGATACGCGGTTTTAGATAGAGATTCGCCAGATCCAAAACGTGAGTTTATATTTTCATGATTTATATTTTTTAACATACAAACTTCGAGCTAATTTACCGTTCATTTTAGATCACGAATTGGTCGAATCAGAAGACCATGTGGAGGTGAACGGCGTCGTGTTCAACAAGCCGTTTGTGGAGAAGCCAGTGTCTGCGGAAGATCACAACATATACATTTATTACCCGACGTCTGCCGGCGGAGGAAGCCAGCGGTTATTTAGAAAGGTACCACTTTGTTCGAGAAAAGTAAGAATGTAATTTTCGTAACGTCGCTTAACCCTTGATCGGACAAGCAAGTAAAAATTCGTCATTGGTTTTGGACTTGAACAACTAAATTCAAAATAATGTGGTACCGTGGACTGATTGAGGGTTAAAACATTTACTTGACATGCGTAAGCAGACTACACGAAACTGTCTATGCCGGCATCCAAACGCCTCTTCGTGTTAATCTGCTAAAGTAAGCAAACAAGTCTTTTAACTTTTATGTTTTTGTGAATTTCAGATAGGAAGTCGTAGCAGTATTTACTCTCCTGAATCTCGAGTTAGGAAAACAGGTTCCTTTATTTATGAAGATTTTATGCCTACTGATGGTAAGATGTTTGCTTTCATCCACTAACCCTTTCAAATCTATAACCACCAATCATCTAAGTAAAAATGTGAATTATCTTTTCAGGAACAGATGTAAAAGTGTACACAGTAGGCCCCGACTACGCGCACGCAGAAGCGCGAAAGAGTCCAGCTTTGGACGGGAAGGTCGAACGGGATTCCGAGGGCAAAGAGATCAGATACCCAGTGATTCTCTCCAACCAGGAAAAGTTGATATCGAGAAAGGTGTGCTTGGCGTTCAAGCAGACAGTTTGCGGATTCGATTTGTTGAGGTAATGTTGATTATTGTTCATAACAATAGCGATGGAAACCCATTGTGATTTGAAATATAAATTGCTATAAACATGTGTCGTATTTCATTCTCAGAGCGAACGGCAAGTCTTTTGTGTGCGACGTCAACGGTTTTTCATTCGTGAAGAACTCAAACAAGTACTACGATGACTGCGCGAAGATTCTCGGGAATATGATCCTTAGGGAGCTGGCGCCAACGCTACATATCCCTTGGTCGGTGCCGTTTCAGTTGGACGACCCGCCGATAGTGCCTACCACCTTTGGCAAGATGATGGAGCTGCGATGCGTGGTGGCCGTCATAAGGCACGGTGATAGGACGCCAAAACAGAAGATGAAGGTGGAAGTTCGACACCCGAGGTGAGTGTACTTGTCGTTTTAAAGATGCCTTATCTTGTTCATAGCTGTTAATTTTGAGCACGCCATATTGCAATTAGGTTAATTGGACGTGTCATCAACACGCTCCTAATAAAATTACGGTTTGCGAAAATGTTTACTCAGAAGAGATAGGTAAGTAATAATAATATGTGACATTCGTGATAGCTAAATAACATCTAGTTTTGTGAATAACAATATTTTTAATTAAACGTCATTAACTTTTTTCTGCGACTTATCAACAAAGTGTACTTACTGATAATTTTATCGCGTTAAGAGATAATTCTAGCAGAAGCCATGAAAATTGTCCTTACATGCCGGCCAAGGTTATGGAAACAAATACTATAAAATGACGTCATCGGTTGCAGGTTCTTTGAGATTTTTGAGAAGTATGAAGGCTTCAAACGTGGTCATGTGAAGCTAAAGAAACCGAAGCAACTGCAAGAGATATTGGACATCGCTCGGGCTCTATTAGCCGACATACATACGCGCCATGCTGACCCTGAGATTGAGGAGAAGCAAGGCAAACTCGAGCAACTCAAAAGCGTACTTGAAATGTAAGTATTAAAGTACCGATACGAGGTAAACACAATATTGTAGATGGTATCATTGCTAGAGAACGCCGACAGGGTTTATCGTAACATCTAATCACAATGATAAAATAATCAATGATATTTCTATAGCTTATCACAAATTCGACACAAACACGTGTCCCTGATTTTTACGTCTACTCAAACGCCCAAAATGGAATTTCAACACAAATTAGCCAAGTTTAAAGAAAAAGGATTTAGTCCACACAAACATAGCTGAATGCAAGTTTGCAATCCCCCATTGATGTGACAAGCTATTGCCTTAAGTTAATAATCCAGAAAAATGTACTGGCGACACAGCAGCCGTTATGCGTAAAATCTCTCGTACCGACTGCGCACATTATCGGGACGGAACGGCAGAAGATTTTTAGGTGACGAACAATAATGTACCGTTCCCCTTATGTGCGTAGTCCCTTCCGTTTAGGGTTGCCAGGCGTCCGGCTTTAGCCGGACATGTTTGGCTTTTTAGGGTCTTGTCCGGCCAAATATTGCCTTGTCCGGCCTGTCCGGCTTTTGTTAGGCTTTTTATTTGGTTGCCGCGCCAGGCGAAAGTCGAGCCACAGAATCATATGAAGCAAACGCATCAGGATGTTGGTTAGCAACCGATGATGATAGTACTCACTCATGAGCTGACACTAATTGACTTGACTCATGTAAAATGTCCGGCCAAATGAAACACAAAGTCCGGCTTTTGTGATTTTGGACCTGGCAACCCTACTTCCGTTCCCTCAATCGTTCTGGACATTATTGAAAGGCGTTTGTTTTTCAGGTACGGTCACTTCTCGGGCATCAACCGTAAGGTGCAGATGAAGTACCAGCCTCGCGGCCGCCCGCGTGGCTCCAGCTCCGACGACGGTAACGCGCCGCCCGCGTACGGTAGCTCACCCACTGCCTTACTGCCATAGACACCAGCACATAAGGGCGCACTAGCACATGCATGATGATACCCTCACACATATTGTAAACACTCGCACATGCACCCCTCGGGATCAACCGCAAGGTGCAGATGGAGTACCAGCCCCGACGACGCCCGCGTACGGTAGCACACCCACTGCCTTACTGCCATAGACACCAGCACATAAGGGCACACTCGCACATGCATGATGATACCCTCACACATATTGTAAACACTCGCACATGCACTCCTCGGGATCAACCGCAAGGTGCAGATGGAGTACCAGCCCCGACGACGCCCGCGTACGGTAGCACACCCACTGCCTTACTGCCATAGACACCAGCACATAAGGGCACACTCGCACATGCATGATGATACCCTCACACATATTGTAAACACTCGCACATGCACTCCTCGGGATCAACCGCAAGGTGCAGATGGAGTACCAGCCCCGACGACGCCCGCGTACGGTAGCACACCCACTGCCTTACTGCCATAGACACCAGCACATAAGGGCACACTCGCACATGCATGATGATACCCTCACACATATTGTAAACACTCGCACATGCACTCCTCGGGATCAACCGCAAGGTGCAGATGGAGTACCAGCCCCGACGACGCCCGCGTACGGTAGCACACCCACTGCCTTACTGCCATAGACACCAGCACATAAGGGCACACTCGCACATGCATGATGATACCCTCACACATATTGTAAACACTCGCACATGCACTCCTCGGGATCAACCGCAAGGTGCAGATGGAGTACCAGCTCCGACGACGGTAACGCGACGGTCTGCGTCCAGCGTCTTCCTGCTACCTTTATGATGTCGTCGGTCCACCTTGTGGGTGAACGTCCCACTCTGCGTTTTCTGGTACGCGACCTCCACTCCAGAACCTTGCTGCCCCATCGGCTGTCAGTTCTGCGTACTATGTGCCCTGCCCATTGCCACTTTAGCTTGCTAAACCGTCGAGCTATGTCAGCGACTTTAGTTCGTTTACGGATTTCCTCATTTCTGATTCGATCTCGTAAAGAAACACCGAGTATAGCCCTCTCCATAGCACGCTGTGCAACTTTGAGCTTCTGTATAAGGCCTAGGGCACGTTTCCGAACCATAAGTCAACACTGGTAACACACATTGGTTGTTGAATGGAAATCGTTTGCAATTGCAGTAGGCTGCGCGGGCGACCCGTCTCTGGTTCTGATCCTGAAGTGGGGCGGCGAGCTGACGCCGGCCGGCCGCATCCAGGCCGAGGAGCTGGGCCGCATGTTCCGCTGCATGTACCCCGGCGGCCAGGGGCGCCACATACCAGGTACAAATAATATTACTCTAGATACAGTCTACGTGAATGGGTTTAAATAATTTGCCACACGTCTTTGGTTATTAATTATTATTCGGTCAGGGAGAAGCCACACAGTGCGGTGCGATCGCGGCGCGGCGCCAGAGCGATATCGCTGCGGCGTCCTGCATATAAAAATTAATGATATGCCAGACGGTGCGTTCCGGCGCCGCACTGCAGGCATACCGCACTGTGATTGAGCGAGACGGTGCCGTTGCGGCGCCGCATACCACCATGTGTACAGTATACGGCAATCGGTCCTCGGTCCGGGCAAACCAATCTGTCAGCGGTCGTGACAAGGCAATCTGTCAACGGATCTTTGCTCGTGCCCGCGTGGTCAGATCGCATCAATACAAAACGACTAAGGCCTCAGCCTCGAACTTAGCGGGCAGCGGGGCGGGAGCGGCGGCGGCGCGGCAGCGGCAGGATCTTATGTGTGAAATCAAATAGACCGGTTCTCGAAAACAGCGGCGCGGCAGCGGCGCTGGAGCGGGCAACGAGCGGGCAGCGGCGAGGGAGCGGGTAACGAGCGGGCAGCGCACTCCTTCTTTTGCCCACAATAAATCGAGCGTTAGGAATAAATTTGAATCGAAATAAAATTTTCGCCGTTGTTCGCAGACATTTCGTTTGCGAATAAAAACAACTATCTCGACAACACAACCCCGAACACAACACTTCGCCGCTAAAGCGCCGCGCGAGCTGCCCGCTGGTTTCGAGAACGGGTCTGCGTTGCCCGCCCCGCTCCCGCGCCGCCGCCGCCGCCGCCCCGCTGCCCGCTAAGTTCGAGGCTGAGGCCTAAGTCGTTCATACATGATGCAAGTTGCGTTCACTTCGAAAAAATCTAATCTTTTTAAACGTTTCTAGTAGTTAAGAAAACAACTGTTCTCGCCCTTGTTGAAAGAGTCTCTTTCTAGTGAAAGGACAGCCTAAATTAAGTTCTTATCTCTGCTATTAATATCTATATTTAAGGTAACTGTTTCTTACAGGCGAAGGCGGCACCCAAGGCCTCGGTCTGCTCAGACTACATTCAACGTTCCGTCACGACCTCAAGATCTACGCGTCAGATGAAGGTCGCGTGCAGATGACGGCTGCAGCCTTCGCCAAAGGGCTGTTGGCGTTGGAGGGCGAACTCACGCCCATTCTGGTGCAGATGGTCAAGTCAGCTAACACGAATGGGCTGCTGGATAACGATTGTGACTCTTCTAAGGTGCAGAATATGTAAGTAGCCGTGAATTGTCACTGTCAACCGCACTGCAGCTGTTGTTATTTTTTTTTTTAAATTTTATCCACAACGTGGAAGCTCTTGGCCTGTATCTCACCTGATGGTAAGTGATGATCAGGCCGAAGGTGGAAGCGAGCTTCACCCGGAATCCTAAACCACGGAGGAACTGGCTATCTTACCTCTAACTGCCGGAATACAACAATGCTGTTAACATTGTTGTTTACTTGATATAAGCAAGATTATTGTTTATTGATACACAGAATTAAATTAGGGTTTATTGGCTACAGGGTGACCACGCGGTTGAATGTCTTTAGACGTGAATCCCCACATCCCCACATGCGCTAATATGATATGATTCGCCTTTTAATCGAGGAAAGTCTTTTGTACTTTTATGCGTCTGCATTTTATCCCCACGGCCAAGGATCGTGTGGGTTACAACGATCTCCACAGGCTGCGTTTTGATGAGAAGAGACTATCGTACTCTGATGAAGTCTAATGTGTCCACATTCTCATCTCCAGGGCCAAAGCGCGCTTGCATGAAGCCATGCAAGTAGACCGGGAGTTCACGGAACAAGACCGCGCGCGGATAAACCCTTGCGAATCGCTCAGTATCGCAGCGGCGGCCGACTTCGTCAAGAACCCGGCGCGGTGCTGCGCTCATGTCCATACGCTCATACAGAGCCTCGTGCGCATCGTGCTGGTCAAGAAGGATGACCCCAAGACCAAGGGTACGCGATATTAAAACCTAAGCAGCTGTAGTTAAGTTTGCATTTAGCTTGTAGTCAAATAAGTTAAGGTATTGCGGCTGACTTCGTCAAGAACCCGGCGCGGTGCTGCGCGCACGTCCACACGCTCATACAGAGCCTCGTGCGCATCGTGCTGGTCAAGAAGGATGACCCCAAGACCAAGGGTACGCGATAATGAAGGTATCCTTCCGTTTGGCCAAATTACTTTTCGCCAAATTTCACTTCGCAAACAACTTATCGCCAAAGTTTCATTTCCCAAATGAACTTTTAGCAACTGTACTTTTCGCAACTAATTCATTTGGTCAAATTATCATTTGGCCAAATTTTACTTGGCAAATGTTTATATCGCAAATGTTTTATGTTGCCAAATATTATATCCCAAATAATTTGTTTGGTCAAATTGATACTTCACATACTTACCCACCGTTAACCACAAATCAAAGTATAAGGCACATGATCATGGTTTTCACAAGAATTTTATGTAAAACATTGCAGGAAATAGTATGGTTGCAAAAAGTAGGTATTACAGAAAAAAGTAGGTTAGGTTAGGTTAGAACAGTGACCCTTAATGCGCGAAGGCGAGCGAAGCGTGCCGCGGCAGCGGCCGCCGAGCGCTAGAATCACCTCTATTGTTAATGAATCGTTTGGAAATTTCGATAAAAAAAATGAAATAAGGAAATTAATGTAGAACAAATTTTATATTAACTACCCACTAAACAAAATAATAACCACAAGCTAATTTGTATCCATTCTATGCACCAATCAAATTACTTTGTAAATAGTTTATCGTGAAATATTTTTGCCTAATGAAACATTTGGCAAACCATACTTTGCCAAACAATAATTTGCTAAACAATAATATGCCAAAAACAACATTTGCGAATTAAAAGTTTGCCATAAGTTGCTTTGCCAAATGAGAATTTGCCAAATGAAAATTTGCGAAACGTTGTTTGCGATGTGATAATTTGGGAAACGTTTTTTGGCCAAACATTAGTAATCCGATATTAAAACCTAAGCAGCTGTAGTTAAGTTTGCATTTAGCTTGTAGTCAAATAAGTTAAGGTATTGCGGCTGACTTCGTCAAGAACCCGGCGCGGTGCTGCGCGCACGTCCACACGCTCATACAGAGCCTCGTGCGCATCGTGCTGGTCAAGAAGGATGACCCCAAGACCAAGGGTACGCGATAATGAAACTTAAGTAGCTGTAGTTAAGTGTGCTTTTAGCGTGTAGTCAAATAAATTAAGGTATTGCGACTGACTTCGTCAAGAACCCGGCGCGGTGCTGCGCGCACGTCCACACGCTCATACAGAGCCTCGTGCGCATCGTGCTGGTCAAGAAGGATGACCCCAAGACCAAGGGTACGCGATAATGAAACTTAAGTAGCTGTAGCTAAGTGTGCTTTTAGCGTAGAGTCAAATAGTTAAGGTATTGCGGCCGACTTCGTCAAGAACCCGGCGCGGTGCTGCGCTCATGTCCACACGCTCATACAGAGCCTCGTGCGCATCGTGCTGGTTAAGAAGGATGACCCCAAGACCAAGGGTAAGCTGTAATAGAACCTAAGTAGCTTAAGTTAAGTGTGCTTTTATCGTAGAGTCAAATAGTAAAGGTTTGCGGCTAACTTCGTCAAGAACCCGGCGCGGTGCTGCGCGCACGTCCACACGCTCATACAGAGCCTCGTGCGCATCGTGCTGGTCAAGAAGGACGACCCCAAGACCAAGGGTACGCGATAATGAAACTTATGTAGCTGTAGTTAAGTTTACGTTTAATGTAAGAGCCAAATAGTTAAGGTATGGCGGTGGACTTCGTCAAGAACGCGGGAACTTCGTCATGTGCACAGGTTTATACAGAGCCTCCTGTGCAAGACCAAGGGATGCGATATTTTATTTTATTTTATTCGGAAAACCAACCAATACAAATAATGGGACCTTAAATTATGTATCTGCCTAGCCATTTATAGGTAATCGCAAATGGAAGTTAAGATGCAAATAGACCATATGCCATATGAAAACATAAACGGACATAAAACTTATCTTCTTTCAATTCGGTAAAATCTTTTAAGAACTCTTGAATCTTGGTCACTGTCTCATCTGAAAACAATCATTTTTTTTCAGTTCAGTTTGATTGGTTCGTTGGCAGAGGTTATAGATGACCCACGCTGAACTGTCCCACCAAACTCAATGACAGGGGGGCGCTACCATCGTTCAACTATATGGCTTCCAACATGGCAAAAATCGGAACCAGCGATCCGGTATTGACGGTGGCGCCCCACTGTCAATGTCATGGATAGGACAGTTCAGTATTTTGGAACTATATTATAAATAGACTACTTGACACCACCATTCAAAACGCAGTTCTCCCACCTATTTAGTAAAGCATAGACAAGTATTGTGACGTCACTCTGCAATCGCTTCATTATTATTCTCCTTGAAAGATTTTTTTAAGGAAATTAACATACTGACAGTAGCTTCACAGTTCATTTATGAAAACCTTTTATATGTTCGCAAGAATATAGAGCAATTCACGAAAAAGAGCGATTTGCATAACTTTAATACAAGAAACAAAAATAAACTTGCCGTTCCAAATTTCAGACTGCATAAGATTGGGAATTCATTTATGGGGAAATGTATTAAATTATTTAATAAATTACCACAAACTGTTGTAGAACTACCCATTCATAAATTCAAAGCACATATTAAAAGTACCTTAATGAAAAAGGGCTACTATAAAGTCGATGATTATTTAAAAGATAAAAATGTTTGGGATGCGTAACTGCCTAGCTTGCATAAATATTTATAACTATGTATTTTGAAAACCTGTAAACATTTTAAAAAGAGGCTGACAATAGTGTCTGAGTTTCTTGCGCTGCTTCTTCTCAGCACTGGCCCATTTATTGTCCTGAAGCAGTGGTAGGGTTAATACTGGGACGTGTAAAAGTGCTTTTTTAAAGCCTACTTACAGAAATAAATGAGTTTTATTGAGTTTTATTAATTTCCAGACTCAATCCTCTACCACGGCGAGACGTGGGAGCTGATGGGGCGTCGTTGGGGCAAAATCGAGAAGGACTTCTGTACTAAGAACAAGACATACGACATCTCGAAGATCCCAGACATCTACGACTGCATCAAGTATGATCTGCAGCACAACCAGCACACGTTACAGTTTGACCAGGCGGAGGAGCTGTATATGTATGCCAAGTACTTGGCTGATATCGTTATACCGCAGGTTAGTACAAAACTGAAATTGAATTTCTGTTTGTGCATAAAGAAGATTTATTTAGTTAGGGCATTATTCCCGAACCCGATGAAAAGTTAGGCTGGATAAAAAAGGATAGAAATACCTACATAATATGAATGTAAGTTAGATTGGTCCAATAAGAATTCGCTCTATTTGAGAAATACTTGGATAAAATTGGTGCTATTTATTCCAAGAACGATCCTCGATTTATCGACATATTTTGGAGTCATTCGCGATCCATTTGTGTGTGAAAATGCCGATGTTATGTAAAAAAATCATAACTCTCATTATGACAAAATGTATCAAGAAATGTGTAACTGTCTTATAACTTAATGCAGTATTTAATAAAATATTAATGAATCTGAGATGAGTAAGTTAAAGAACTTTCATTGTTATTGTCCAGGAATACGGTCTAACGATGCAAGAGAAGCTGACGATCGGCCAAGGCATTTGCACGCCTCTTCTGAAGAAGATACGCGCGGATTTGCAGAGGAACATCGAGGAGTCTGGAGAGGAGACCGTCAACAGATTGAACCCCAGGTTAGTCGATAATTAGTTCAGTATAATATAGTCGATGTTTGTTTGTGTCTAGTATTGCTTCAATTGTGATTTTAAGAGTTCATTTTGTTTCACCATCATCAATCATAACCATTTATTATTCAATAGACTCATTTAACATTTCGTTGACGCATATCGATGTGTACACGATTCAGTTATATTTTCAATATAATCTACTTTGCAGGAGCAGATGTACCTGCGAAGATTTTAGTCGACAAATTAACACTCATAATAACAAACCGATAAATTAAAGTTCTTTAAAGTATGTAGGTCCTTTACTTTCACTGAACCTTACACAAGTCCCAAACCATAAAAAAGTTGTCGTTATTAACGTGCACTGTCTTTAACGTAACGTACTAAACTTGCACGCGATTTACACAATTTGCATTTGGTCTAGAAGTACAGCCTTGGCCAAAAGTATTGAGCACCCATGATATTTATTAATTTTGAAGGAATTATACATGTGTCTGAATCAAAACAGTTTTTAACAGTTTTATATTGTTTATTAACAACAAAAAATTAATACTTTGTTGGACCACCCTTTGCCTTAATTACTGCAGAAGTTATTTTTGGTAAAGATTGTACTAATTTATTACAATCGTCACATGTTAAAGCGTTCCACTCTTCCCGCAAGCGACGTTTTAGGTCTTCTTTTGTTTTTATTCAATGGCGCCGGACCTTGTCCTTCAATAGACCCCACAAATGCTCGATGGGGTTCAGGTCTGGTGACTGGGCAGACCATTCAAGCAGCTCGATGTTATTGTCACTAAACCAGCCCTCGTTTGTGACAAGGTGCGTTATCCTGCTGGAATTTGACGCTTTCCATGTTGGTGTCACCAAAAAGTGTTGTAAACGAGGGCAGAAGTGCGGATTCAAGAACGTTTATGTACTTTGTAGAGTCCATGCGTCCTTCACACACAAACATTTCCCCAACTCCTGCGGCGCTCATGCACCCCCAGACCATCACACTGCCGCCGCCATGTTTGACGGTAGGTACCTTACACTCCGGGGTAAATTCTTCGTCTACTCGACGACGGACAAATGTCACACCAGGTGTGCCAACAATCGTAAAGTAACGAAATTTTGTTAAGTGTTTTTCGGTCCAATATTTATTTTTACAAATATAGTTTTATAATATTATTGTCGCGTATTGTTATTACATGATATTGGCTAACTTACCTCAAAGTTTGATTCATCTGACCACACAATATTTTTCTAATCTTCCTCGGTAAAAGTTTGGTATTTTAAAGCCTACTCGTAACGAGCTGTTTTGGTCTTTACTGAGAGCCATGGCTTCTTTCTGGCTGTATAGCCCTTAAGCCCAGCTTCTTGGAGTCTTCTGCGAGTTGTTCTTGCAGAAATCGGCGTATTAATTTCAGCTGATAACTCAGCAGCGAGGTCGGAAGAAGATTTTTTATGATTTTTCAAAGACTAACAATACTACAGTATCATAGCTAAACATCTCGAAACGTGTTTTATTGCACGTTGTGCCGTGAGTTTATGTTTCAAAACCTGTCAAAGAAAGGTTTTTATCAAATATCTTTGAGTATCTTTTATAGTTATCACGTATAAGCAGTATTTAGGGGGTGCTCAATACTTTTGGCCAAGGCTGTACATTATTTGATAAACATGAGTAAATTCTTTTAACATCAAGTCACAAACAAAACAATATTATAGTTCATATTGTGAAGTAAAGAAAGCCTAATATACAGCTGACAGTTGTCCTCGCTGCGGCAGGTACAGCCACGGCGTGTCCAGCCCCGGCCGCCACGTGCGCACGCGCCTTTACTTCACCAGCGAGTCCCACGTGCACTCGCTGCTCACCGTGCTGCGCTTCGGCGGGCTGCTGGACGTAAGCGACATGCGACCTTAACGCTGAGTAGGAGGGTTGATCGCTGAGGGTATTTAAGGAATAAGCGACCTTAATGACATGTGAGAGGTGGGGTTGCTGCTAATGTAACTTTAACGACAAGCAAGAGGCAAGGGCAAGCAATAAAGAACCTTAAAGACAAACTGATGAGCATACGAGGGCGGCACTGAAAATTTCGGGAATCAAGGAAGTGAAACAACATTACTATTTAAAAATGTATTTATTGCTTTTTAAAGTATTCTCCGCGAAATTTGACACATTTTTCCATACACGAAACCAATCATTGAAGCAACCATTGCATTCGGAAGTTTGGGTCTCCAAAATGGCCGTTTTGTAGGCTTCCACAGCTTCTTCAGGTGATGAAAATCTCTGACCACGCAATTTATTCTTTATTTTAGGGAAAGTATAGAAATCATTAGGGCTTAGGTCGGGGCTGTACGGCGGATGGACTAATAATTCTATGTTTTCTTGCTCTAAAAACTCTTTTGTTCAGTGCGCGGTGTGAGAACTCGCATTGTCGTGATGGAGGATGATGCGGCGGTTGCAGTTCTCTTTACGGAGTTCAGAAACGACCTGTGGCAAACAAATGCTAGCATACTAATCTGCATTAACCGTTCTTTGTCCCCCAAGAGGAATAGTCGCAACATGGCCGGTTTTGGAGACAAACGTGGCCACCATTTTTTTTGCAACACTCCGTGAACGAACAATTTTTGTTGGCTTTAATTCATTTTCGAACACCCAAACTCGTGACTGGTTTTTTGTTTCGGGTTCGTACGCGTATATCCATGATTCGTCACCTGATACGATGTTGTATACAGCATTTGAGGATCCTGCATGTAATCTCCCGAGAGTTCTGACGCACCAAGTAACGCGAGCCGCTTTTTGCTCTTCACAGAGCGAATGCGGTATCCATCGGGAAAACAACTTTTTTACACCTAATTGTTCATGCAAGATTATTTGTATTTGACTCATGCCAATGTCTAAAGTTGCCTGAATTTCGCGGTATATCACATGTCGATCTTCTTCAATCAGCTTACGCACAGCATCAACGTTTTCTTAGGTGACTGCAGTTTTTGGACGACCTTGACGGGGATCATCACTGAGCTTGACACGTCCACGTTGAAATTCAGGAAACCAGCGATAAATTGTGGTTTTGGATGGGGCTTCATTACCAAATGCAGAAATCATCCGGTCAACACACTGTTTTTGTGTTAAACCACTTCAAAAGTCATAATAAATCATCGCTCTTGAATTTTCTCGAGTCAATTCCATTTTCTCAACGACTAAACGAGTTTGACAAGACCTTGTGATACGACCGAGAATCTTTTTTTAAATAAATAAATGGTATACGATTTTTAAAACCCTGGAGTTTGCAATTAAATAGATTTTAATATGACTGGAACAGTGGAAATATTCCATTCCCGATACTTTTAGTGCAGCCCTCGTACAATTAAAATTTTTCATTTATATTGTTGTGGAAGGCTTTTTTAATCTATTATTTTGATAATGTTTATGTTTGCAGGTTCTAAAAGATGAGCAATGGCGTCGCGCGATGGAGTACGTGTCTATGGTTTCCGAGCTCAACTATATGTCGCAGATCGTCGTCATGTTGTATGAAGACCCCACAAAAGATCCTTGCTCAGAAGAAAGGTAATGTATTTTCACAATTCTGAAATAGGACCTAGAATCCTTTGAAACATATGAAGCCGAATTTATTATTTGCCGAACTGTCATTAAAAAGTGTTGCCCCTGCTATATAATTTCGTCCTTAGCTACTTAAGCGTGAGGGACTCTGACAAGAAAACTTATTTGCCTGGGTCCCATGGATCAGTCTACCCCCTTGGCTCAGATACTGGGCACATCAAAGTGTATCTTCTAAAGCCCGGTCCGTGAGCACGTAGAATTTTGTCCAATGACCCCTAGCTACCCATCCCATCCTTATCGCTCGCGCGTAATTATATTGCTGTCGCGACTGTGCGACTGGCACCCGCAGTGAGTGTGCGAGCGCGATAGCAACATAATTACGCGCGAGTGATAAGAATGGGTAGTTAGGGGTCATTGGACAAAATTCTACGTGCTCACGGTCCAGGCTATATCTTTGATTACAAAGTGTAGTAATGTTAAAGACACCAAAGGAATTAAACCTCAAGCGCTGCATCGTAATTTTATCACTTCATCTACAATATTGCCGGAGTCTATTGGCATTAACTATGGCATTGTTTGCAGGTTCCACGTGGAGCTGCACTTCAGCCCGGGCGTGAACTGCTGCGTGCAGAAGAACCTGCCGCCCGGGCCCGGCTTCCGCCCGCACAGCCGCAACCACTCCACCACCAACAACTCGGTACGTCAGCATTCGTTTGTATTAGGTGGTGCCACAAGTGACATTTGATATTACCACAGAATAATAATATTATTATTTATTATTGGTTTTTGGGCCTTTATTTGCGCCAACTCGACCAGGTTTGACCTATTGTGGCAGCCCTTGTCTTTAGAGTTCACTGCTTAGTCCCGTTTTGAGTCTATAAATTTCCAGATTCTTTGGAGCGTGATATCTGCTATCTCATCCGGGTGCATGATGTGTCGCCCGAGATGGATACTTCTTTTGCTCATAAGCGGGAAGCATGAGCAAGAATAATAATAAGTACTACCACAGAATAATAATAAGTACTACTTACAGAAGTTTTACTTCGCGAAGGTATTTAAAAAAATGTATGCTCAATGTCATCAACAATATGGTGTAATTTAGCCTGTCTCAAGAGTCAAGCACCATTTTGTTGACAAACGTCAGTGATCGGCGCTGCGCCGAAGCTATAGGGCTGACTTCGGTAAAATGATGTGACGTGAGGTATGATTTAGCATGAATTATCATGAATAATATTAACTACTTATTTACCTCTCAGTGTCTTGAGCCAACTTAAAAAAGTACATTCGGTGTTTTTATTATTATTTAGGCAGTTAATTAAATACTGCACAGTATTTAGTAGTACACCATTTTCTTCCATCGCGTGCGTGAGTCAATGCTCGCTCGTATGTGAGGCCTTGTCAAATAGTAATCGTGCCATCGTGCGTGTTTTGTTTTCGATGAAAACACCTTACTAACACTAATAATCACTTAACACCAGGTGCGATTGCGGTCAAATACCTGCCTTGGCTAGCATAAAAAAAAAACCTTATTCACTTATCTTAAAGCTGATAAACAAAGCATGATCTCTTTCTACAAGATGTTAAAGCTGCCAAATAGCAGACGTAAAAATTCGATTTGATAGCCTCAAGTGGCAAGAAGTTATTCAAGCTTGCACTTAGGTGCATGAAACAATCTGTCTTAAAACAATTTACCAACGCTAACTGCTTGCATTTTTGTGGTCTAGTAAGCAGCAGCAAATAGTTTACATCTAATGTTAATGTTTCGACAGAGCTCATCAGACGAAGTCAAATGCATAGAAGAAGAAAGCGAAGATGACCAAATGGCCAGCCAGGAGACCTTACAGCCAGTAAGAAGGAACATTTTATCAACTAATCGCTTTTAATATAGTGTTACTATATCAATACTAGGTAGGTATGTATATCTAAATATTACGATTTCGTGTTACAGGACAATCCTGACGAACTGGACAGTACATTTTCACCTAAGAAGGTTTCCAAGTCGAAAATAAGGCCTTCAGATCCTATACCAATTTGGTAAGTTATTTTGTTATTCCCAGCTATAGCAAAATGTGAAATGAATGGCTTCACAGCGTGTGGAGGGTCTAGTAAAGTGTCAGCAGTTAGATAAATCGATTAGAACTGGCCATGTCACTTTGCCTTGAGTTGTAAGAAATCAGTTTCTGGTAAGGTCAGATAAAGTAACAGTTTTGAGTGTTGGATTTAAAGGGGTGGGTTGAACTCATTTTTATTCTTAGCTTGTTTAATAAAATGGTACCTTATAGCTGTAGTAATAAGCATCAATGTTGTTTGCAGCAATCTACACTACACGGTGAGCGGTCACGAGGCGTCGACGCTGGCGGCGCGGCTGACTGCCGAGTTGCGCGCGCGCACGCACCCGCACGACGCGCTTCCACATGCACAGGTATTTGGATAACAGTAGATAATACAATATAATAAATAAATGAGATTTGTCTTGTATTAGGTTAGGTTAGGTTAGGAGTCTAGACACTAAAATCTGACTGTAATTTCTGGAGCCTCTTGGGATGGAACTAAGAGTAGACGGCCTAGACATTGTTTTGCGACTCCGTCTCAGGCCATGACTCGTTCGATGCACACCACAGATAGTTCATAAGTATCAAATCTTCGTTTAAACTGAATAAAAGATTTATTTTTATTCCACCTGATCCTAATTTTCCATCAGGTAAAAGGCAGGCCGAGAGCTTCTTCGCTGTGGATAAAAACTTCTTCGTTGTGGAGAAAAAAAAAACAATTCATTCACTGCAACTTTTGTCTATAGTCTGGACTGCGAGCACGTAGAATTTTGTCCAATGACCCCAAGCTACCCATTCTTATCTGTCGCGCTCACACACTCACTGCGGGCGCCCGTCGCACAGTCGCGACAGCAATATAATTACGCGCGAGCGATAAGGATGGGTAAAACTCAATAAAAACTCAATAAAACTNGCAAAGCAATGTTTATTGATTGAAAACCACAAAAATATAACCTCAAACAGATTGCAATACCAATTATTTTGAAATGCTAAATTAATATTTTAACTATTTACGCCTATAAGTAAACAGTATTTTTGAAAACAGTACTCCCCTGAGCCCCGATTACGGTAACTTTTATAACGTCTACAATCCAGACGCGTTTCTGATTCTGCGATACGATTGGTCAAAACAGCTGACGTACGCTGTTGAACGACCAATCGTATCGCAGAATCGAGAAGCGTGTCTGGATTGTTGACGTTTAAAATTACCGTAATCGGGGCTCTGGTTTAAACGGTGGCTCCGGTTAAATTTTGTACGTTGGTCGTAGCTGTCAATTTGGTCGCCGATTTAATCTCCTTATAATTATGTGTTTACACAAAGTCCAGTTTTGCAAACACTTGTACACGATATTTACACATTTATATCACTAATTAAGTGTATTTTGATACATTAATACGACTATTTTTATAATTTAACTTAAAATTAATCTAACAGCTGATCTAAGTACGTCTGACAGGCAGGGCTGCCAGACGAAAAAAAAAAAAGGAAAAAAAAAAAAAAAAGAAAAAGGGTAGCTTGGGATCATTGGACAAAATTCTACGTGCTCACAGACCGGGCTTTAGCCACGATTTAGAACTTGCACGATTCAGGTAGGTATATCTTAATCTTTACAGTATGCTTAGTTCTATTTTGTTTTCTACAGAGTGAAGAAAAAGAGCCGAAAGAAGTAGAAGAGCCGCAGCCTCGGGCTCGCAGCTACGACCAGCACAAGCAGAGCCACGACAACGGTAAGTATGGTCGCGACCGCAGGCCCCGCCCACTTAGTCACGTGCCATGTTATAACCGCCTGCGTATGAAACTTACCAGTTTGAAAAGAATGGTGTTACTATTTGTGTGATGTGACTGTTTGATGTTTAATGAATGGTTAGCACGATTTGACGTAAAGTGTTTTTTGTAAATATGTTTAATAAAATATAGTTAAAATCTCAAAACCTTGAAATACATTCATTAAAAGATAGTTAAAATCACAAGACTTCTTAATTAAGTAACAGTTGAGACGTTTTAACTAAAATGATAAAAAAATATGATCACAAATTCTTAAGGTGTATTTCAGAATTTCAGCAAGCAAGGACGATAAGTCAGTAGTAGTTTTTCCTATAATCGATTAGATCGTTCTTCATGTTTAGTAGCTAGATTCAGTAATTTGAAACACCGAACATCGTAGACTAACATTGCCTGAATTTATATGCTTTTTCTTCAACGCTGTTTGTGGCTAAATGCACTTTCAAAAATGGTAGGAATATGTCAAGTAAATTGTTGAGTAGCTTTGCCCTTTTTGGTTTTACAAAGTATGACACTATCGCGCTACCTCGTTTTATCCCTCTTTCATAAACCAGTAATAAACTCGTATATTTTTCCATGGATCTCAATGTATATCTATAACCAGTTTCATCTAAAACGGTTCAGTGATTTGAGCTTGAAAAGGCAACAGACTATACTAGTTACTTTCACATTTTTGAATCGCATTTTGCCACACGCAGCAAGGCGTGTAATATTTGATGGTGTTCTGACGGCCGCTACTTATTGGCGATGGCCTCGCGACAGACGGCGCGGGCGCGGCGGCCCCAGGGCAGGCGCCCCCAGGTCAGTGTCTGGGCCCGCGGCCAGGGCCCGCTCAGGGCCGGAGGCAGGTGACGAGGTGATGGTTATCTGTCTTTATGTTATTATTGTAATCGGGACACTTCTATGAAGATGGGTTTCCTTTAACTATTTATTGCTTTATACGTTCTGTTTTAAACTTTCTTAATTACAAACTGTTCTCTTGTTTATTCATAAAATATATTTTATTGTTTTGTTGAATTAAGTTTGAACTTTACAAAACACAGCTTTTTATTGAGACTGACCGAGTCAACCTATTAGTATTAGAATTCAAACGATAACGTAAAATAGTACTTTCAAACACACCAGTAAAGTTAGTATGCTTTAATCATAGCAGCGGTATTGTCTATTTTATCGCCATCATCTCTGACATACTACAAAACTGCCTCTGATTGGTTTTAAATTGTGTTACTTTAATGTGTTGTCTGTATATTTTTGACTTGTGTTATTTGGAGTTCGTAGAAAGCGTGGCGTCGGCGAGTCGTCGATCGAGCTCATTCTGGCCGGCGGTATTGTGTGTGTTTGCGCTGCCTTCTCGCACCTCGCGTTTGGCGTTCAGTTTGACCATTGTTTGGAACGTGCATGTACTAGATAACACCGACACTAACATATTCGTACTTTATTTTGAATTCATGCATTTATTTTTGACGAGGGCGAATTTTCGGCCGCAATCTAGTCCTCCGATCACACGCGTGTGAGCGCAGGGGTAGACGGCGGCGCCGAAGACGGCCGTCGTCGACGAACAGTCGTCAAACTATCACCGGGCTGGGAATCATCCATCCTCGCGTTCTCTCGCTCGGTCCGAGCACGCTTCTCACTATCTATATACGTACGTGTATGTACAGTCACGGAATGAAAAGGTTCGTCAGTTTTCAAATTGATTCCTTCAACGAATCGCGAGCACATATTACCTTTTGAAACTATGTTACAGAATAATCTCGAGTTAGAGAAAATAATCTTTAACTGTTCGTCAGTAAAGTTCAAAATTATTCAGATCAAAGTTGTTTGACGATTTAACTCGTCAAGAAGATTATTATGATTGATAAACTAAAACCTTCTCGTCGGTTCAACCTGCCATTATCTATTCAATAAATAAAAAATACATTTTGTAACATTGCACCGATGGGATAGAAAAATAAACAAGCAAAACCTTATTCGTTAGCAAACGTCATATTTATTTAAATGTTAGCAGCACTGTTTCTTGCACGGTTATGTTGGCAGATTTGACTCTTACAGTACCTAGTGCAAGCGAAAACCGACACTAAAGTGACGAACCTTTTCATTCCGCGACTGTACATATTTAATTATTTGTTTCCCCGTCCCCGTCACCTGGGCGGGCAGCGCGCGCGCGGCCGGTGCCGGTGCTGACGCTGTCGCCGGCGCCGGCCGCGCCACTGGTCGCGCTGTCGTGGCCGCGCGAGCGCTGTAGTGTGTGGGCGGCAGGGCGGCGCCAGCGGCACAGCATCGCCGGCCAGATGAGCTACCTGAAGATGCTGGGGCTGGGCGCGCGCGGCAAGCTGTCGGGCGCCGCCGGGCTCTTCAGCACCGCCGTCATCTCTGGCTCCAGCTCCGCGCCCAACCTGCGCGTCATGATCCCCTCCGCCGCCGCCACCAACAGTGAGTTGAGAAAAAAAACAGTTATAGTATTCGTTCGTTCGTTTCAGCCAAATGACGCCTACTGCTGGTTGAAATCCTCCTCCAAAGATTTTCATAATAACCGGTTCTACGCTGTCTAGGTAGTTCCCGCGACCCTCACCAGATCGTCGGTACAACTTGTGGGGACCTGCCTACACTACGTCTTCCGGCCCATGGTCGTCACTCGAGATTTTTTCTGTCCCAGTGGCCACCAGCTGTGCATTTGCCCCGCCCACTGTCACTTGATTTAGCTTGAATTCGTTATAATAATATTCTTGTTGCTGGAAATTGATATTTGGATTAAATACAAATATAAACAACAAATTGTTTTCATCCTCAAGCTGCTACACGGCAGACTTAACATGTCTGGCTTACTCAATGAATTACTGAGGCTGTTCGCACCCAACAACTATTATTATCGTAGTTGAAGGCATGCATTGTTTGCTGTTCCTCCGTGTCGCACGGTTTCAAGATTGAAATCACTTATACCACGTACATTAAGTGCTCTCAATCGTTTCCTGAACCAAAACCCAAAATGTGACGTATTTGCAGAGGGGTGGAGTACGTTACTAGCAGAATGTTTGGGTTACTGTGAAAATAATCGCATCTGATTTATGTACTTTTCCTAAATTAAGTTAAGTTAAATTGTTTATAAAGAAATAAAATAAAACTTTTTGTCAAGAAATGACTTGATTGATTGATTATATTGTAATGAACAACGTTCGCAGTCGCGGCACTCGAGGGCTTCGGCGGCGTGCCGGCGATCCGTCCGCTGGAGACGCTACACAACGCGTTGTCGCTGCGGCAGCTCGACGCCTTCCTTGAGCGAGTCACAGCCGCGCCCGTGCTGCCGCCGCCGCCGCCCAAGCGGCCCTCGCCCACCAACAGTGAGTGTCCCCTGCCCTGCAACCTGGTCGTAACCTGTGAGCTCATTGTTTGGGATATCCCTCGGAAAATTATCAGAGAAAGTAACCTCTGGAAACATTTTTTATGTAGAAAGCCTTCAGTAGTTATCTTCATAAATGTTAGTCATAAGAATATAATATACAGGGTGTTAGGTAAATGGGTATATGAGCCGACACTAGCCCATGTTAACATGGGCATATAAATGGTATCGTGAAGTCGGAAAATTGATATCTTAATTTTAATTATTTTAATTTTCATATTTTCACTTTAATTTCACACAAAATATTTGGGATATTTTCTCTTTACAATAAGAAATTCTTGATGGGAATCTTGGATAAAGATTTAGTACTTATTATTATTAAATAATTAAACAAAGATCCAATAAATAGTTCAATACTTAGCTATAAGTAATGCTAAATTGTATATCCTTATCCAAGTATTATACGCAAACTATGTTCACTTGCAAATGTTCATACAACGGCTATTGTCGCTTTATTTTGGTTTCCACTCTATTTCGATAATTTTATATTTTCACTAGCACTAATAATAAACAAAGATCTATCAACATATCTCATAGACTAAGAGCTAGTGAACGCCAGACCTACGTCATTTTATAAAAGCTAAAAGTTTGTCAGCGTATGCTCCCAATATAGGATATAATGTTGATGAATTATGAAGTTTGGGACATGGTGGCTTTGGGAGCTACCCTAAAAAAACTGTCTGGCAAGGAGTTGGAACTGTCAAAACTGTCTGTTGGGGAAAATACTTCTAATTATTGCCCAAATATTATACATAAAAATCAGATTTAATGGTATAACTTTAGTAGAATTACAGTCTATTGATTGAATATACAGAAAATGCCACCGTAAAAGTTAGACTTACGTTATACCATAAAATCTGACTTTTATGTATAATATTTGGGCAATAATTAGAAGTATTTTCCCCAACAGCCAGACAGTTTTAACAGTTCCAACTCCTTGCCAGACAGTTTTTTTAGGTCTGGCGTTCACTAGCTCTTAGTCTATAGGGCTGACATTGACATATCATGATACGGTGATACGAGGGGGATGTTAGTTCATCAGTGAGTACATACTACAAACTGTCATCTTCGAATCGGTAGCCCAGAACCCTGGGCTGGGTTCGGCCCTCCATAAATATTATGTACTAGCTTTTTCCCGCGGCTTCACACGCGTGAAAATTAGTTTGTCACAGATCGTCATAAATTATAGCCTATATGTTAATCTGGGTTATAAACAATAATACTGTAAAGTTTCAACAAAATCCGTTCAGTACTTTTTACGTGAAAGAGTAACAAACATCCACACAAACTTTCGCATTTATTAGTAGGATGTATACGCGCATATCATCTGCGCTTTAGCCGTTACGTTTGGTTTCGCTTTTTCGCAATTATTTTCGACTTAATTAGGTCAACCATTTTTCTTGAACGATTCACCATTCATATCAAGCTATGACTATGCAAGTTATTATAAGGATTTTATAAGAACAGTGATCACCACAGTTTTATTCTTATAAGAATCTTATCAGGACAGTGATCACCAAAGTTGTAGGTATCCCACCTCTCGTTCCCAACACTGCAACTCCTGTGTAGCCAGGATCTACAGCTTGACCGCCAATAAAAACCCAACCAGTGAAGGTCAAGTTTGTCCCAAGGGAAAGTTAAACTGTCATTGGACCCGCAACGAAATTAATCAAAAGAACATAGAGTTCGAAGTTAAGGTTCGACTTCCCGCCATTGCAAAGCATCTTACAAGGGCAGGGATATGATCATTGAAGTTTTGTTATTCTTCACCAGGCGTAGGGTGGAGTGGTCCGTCTTCACTGATGTCGTCATCAGGCGAGCTACCGAGCGGGCTGTCGTCCGCCGGGCCCTCCTCTCCCAACTCTACCTACGCGCCCTCTGACCAGAAGAACAATTCCGACAGGTATTATAATACCCGAGCACGCGGGGTTACTCCGAAAAACATCCGAAGTTTCGAATGTTGTCATCCCTCTCACGCAAAGCGAGATGCCAGCTTGAGCGACGGTGACAGAGCTAAACTACGTAAACTGCGTTTCGGGGTATCCCTGACGGTGCGGATAGCAGCACTTCAACGCAAACACCTAATGTGGCTGGAATAGAAGCGAATTTGCAATAAACACGAATATATGACGTGCTGACGACTGTACACTAGCTGTAGATGTCACGGTTCAGTAAGTCGCCTCGATATTTTTGGTTGTGATAACTTATCAAAACCAAACCATGGGGCTAGCTAAGCATGCACAAAATACTTGGGATATTTTCTCTTTACAATAAGAAATTCTTGATGGAAATCTTGGATAAAGATTTAGTAGGTACTTATTAAATAATCAAACAAAGATCCAAAAAATGGTTCAATACTTAGCTATAAAGTAATGCTAAATTGTATATCCTTATCCAAGTATTATACGCAAACTATGTTCACTTGCAAATGTTCATACAACGGCTATTGTCGCTTTATTTTGGTTTCCACTCTATTGCGATAATTTTATATTTTCACTAGCACTAAAAATAAACAAATATCTATCAATGTATCTCAGACATTACCTACAATTAATACCTAAACAAGTATTTCTTGATAACATAAAAAATCATTATTATTTACATTGTTATGTTACAATTTCTATGCTTAGTAGCAAGTTTATAAATATTCTGGGTAGAGTAGTGTCTATAAAAACATTCAAGCAATCGGAAAATTAATATTTTAACTATTTATGACCCTTTGATAGAACTGTAACTGGGAATGTTTGCTTTCTTTCTGGCGCATACAATGTTTTCGCTAAAACTCAATTTTACGCTTTTCTTGTCTTTAATAATGTTTTGGTTTTTCATTTTGTAATTAAAACGTGTAATTTCTTTCACACAAGTGTTTCTAACATTGAGTTTGGTAATTATCAGTAGTATCGATTCTACTAACTTTTATAAAACTTTCAACAACTGCATCTTGTATACTCGCTAAAGATCATAAAAGTAACCTTCATAGACTTTCTAAACATTATCAATTTTTATTTACTAGAGATAGATTTTAATTTAATTTAATAACAGCAAGATTTATAAAGATAGTTTTAGAAGATGCATAACGTAGACAAATGCAGTTTACGCAGTTCACAAATCCAATTAGTAACCATAGTTCTAGACTCATTATTACATTTAGATTCCATTCATAAGAGTCAAAACACTAAAATAGAAGGACCCGTATCGACAGTGAAATAGAAGCATGCTTATACAGTAGTAGACCATCCACCAGCACTTGTGTGAAAGGTCCGGGTAGTCGCGCGGTAACCGAACCGTTGATTCCAGTAGCAATTGGAGTAAAAATGTGTCCGGCAAGCTCCCCCAGTGGGACGGCGAGGCCGCCACACTGTGCCTCGACGCCGCCCCGCTCGCGCTGCGCTCCAATCCACCAGGTATACATCTTGCTACGTGCTGTAACGTACTCAGTGCCGTAACTAGCCTTGTATACGCTCGGTGTAAGCATCCTGTGTCCATGAAAAATGATCACATCAACCGGGCTAGGATGCGCGCCACGATAAAATGTTATCGACGATTTTGAAAGGGATGATGACTGGGTAATTAAATCGAAATTCTATTTAGTCCGTCAGATAGATAATTAGAAAATATTAGACTCATATTTTATTTTTTTACAGTATTATATTGAGTTGAAATGTCGCGTGACGTCACTTTTGAGTAAAAATTCTACTCAAGCGTGACGTATCGCGCCATTTCAACTCGATGTAGAACTGTTATTATTTAATTATGAAAGAAAATAAAAAATATGAGTTTAATATTTTCTAATTATCTGTCTGACGGACAAATAATTGAAATTTGTCATCTAGCCTAATGTACAGTTAAATTAAAATCGATAAAAAGCGTCGATAATATCGTGGCGCGCATCTTAGTCCTGCAGGTCTTTTCTGCCCCTTCCCCCCTCTACACGATTCGAGTCCTATGTCAGGCCCTGGGCCCCGCTCGCACCGCCCTAGTTACGGCACTGGTCGTGCTCTATGTCTCGGTGTTGCACAGCCTTGAACGCCCGATCGACACATTTGGCAGAAATTGATGATATTTTGAATAAGTCTCTTTTCAATTTCTGCCTATTCGTCACTTAGTAACCACTGTGCATTTGTAAATAGTCAATTTTATGTAAGTTGGTGTTATAAGTAGAGATGGGTTTCCACCCGGGTAAAAACCCACATGAGGGTAAAAACCCAATAAAAACCCGTTTCATTCCACCCGTGGGTGTTTACACCGGGTGAAAACAAATAATTTTATAATTATTTCAATTGGTATCTTTTCTTTATTTTTATTGAATTTTTCTCATTTAAGTTTATTGATTAATAAGTAATAAGTCAAATTTAACACTATTATGCATTTATATCGTGGCCAAATCGTAAAATTGATCACGTTATGATGATGTGACCAATTATTTTATAAAATGGTGTTATTTCAAGAATCGTTGAACACCGATTTAAAAGAAATTTAGTAGGAACACAATAATTTGTGATCATGGCAAGGACATGGAGGGGGGGATGCCAAAGATGCCAAACTCTCTCTTTGATGACATTACGGTATAACGTTACAAATAACAACACCAACTACAAAGTACTTCTGCTTGAAAACTTGAAATCGACCGCCCTTCCGCCACTGTAACGCATTGTAACGTTTTTCAAGACCTCCTCTCCCCCCAGATTGCATTACGTAACACTAGAACGCCCCCTTAGCAACAAATACCACTTCTCACTTTAAAAAAACGCTATTTTTGTTTTCACCCACCAGAATGGGTGATAATGGGTAAAAACCGGGTTTTTACCCAAATCACCCAGTTTAAACCCAATCGGGTGAAATGGGTTTTTACCCACTACCCATCTCTAGTTATAAGTAAGCATGCTGTGTTGCATGTTCTATGATGTCCGTGTTTATTCAGTCGGCACATTTTTGATGAGTATTTTGTACAATTTCTTTCAATAGTGTTATTTATATCTATTTGTTTAATTATTTAATTTATTACATACATTAATTACCCTTATTTGTTGTTGTCTCGTAATTATGTGTACTTTCCCGTGATTGTTGCACAGCTCATCAGTCAATGGCCGGTGTAATGTGCCGACTGTCTTATCTGCATGTATGTTTAATTAGTCTGTGACGTCAATAAAAATATTAACTTTAGTATTGTTAGAAATATCTATGTATAATGGGTGATAAACGGGACGTTATCGTTAGTGTTATATTCTATTGATCTTATGTAGCCTCTCGATATAATAATTAATTAATAGCTATTCCCCTAAAGGTTCTTTATTAAATGTACCTAAGATCCTAAGAACAAACAACATGGTAAAATATAGCTCGACTTCCATGACACGTCATAGTCCGTAGATTTCTGAGAATATGACCACGTAAGCTCCGCCCATGTGTCCCCAGAGCCATCCAGCTATATTTTACGAGGCTCCTAGTGTGTTATAAAATCTTAACATGTGATTGTCACGTAGGTTCGTCTATTAGCGGGGACGTGACGCCGGTGTCGCTGGCGTCGGAGCTGGACTTCAACAGCAACGAGGCCACCGCCGGCTCCATCACTGATCACGATCTGTTGGTATGTATTTTAATTGACCTGCATTTTGAAGATACTTCTAATCTATCAATTTATTTAAAAAAAACTAACCTTTCAGATAGAATTTTTTTATTTAGGTAATTGAAATACGCCTATTGTTTCAGAGCGCTGAGGGCGAGGACGACGAGGAAACTTTATCTGTGGATCCCAACGAAGCTCCGCTAAAGTTGATCAAGAACGACCTCAGTCCGCTAAAGTTCATCGCACCAGAACCACCCACGGCTGGTTGCAGCCGCACTCCAGACTTCTACGGCCTCAACGCGCACCAGACCAAGGAAACCTTCCACAAAGACATGCCGTCCAGCAGCAAGAACTACAACCTAGAGACCGACGTCAAAAACAAATGCTCCAAAACCGACGTGTGCACAGAGCCATCGACGCAAAGCAATAACGATGGCGCCAATAAGAAAAACGACACACTCAACAATGGAAGTAGAAGATATAGCGACAGTAGCGCACACAAAAGTAACATTAGTTCACAAGCGGTGGTCGCGGGCAGTAGGTTCACGACCACTTTAGTTACGGAAGATACTTTGAAAGCGGGTACGTCGAGTAAGTCTAACAGTAATTTGCCTAACCTAGCAGAAGTCGAGCCAGCCGAGCCGCTGCTCACCAAAGCCAATAACGTCACAGTCAAGGCTGGCTTCAATATTGAGGATTCATAAACTTTTCGCAATTAGATACTCTGGGTAGTGAGAGTTAATATAGCAAAGCTGTATGAAGGATTTTGATAATGATATTTTTTACAACAATCTCATTTATTGGTGAATATAATCTAACTAAAAATAATGTTTTATTATAGAAACATAAATTAGTGGAATATTTATTGAAGCTAATTGAAGGATTCTAACAGTATGAAATCAAACAAAAGTATTTTAACAAAGTAAACATTTTCAGATTGTGAACACCGACCAGAGCCAACAGAAGCTTAGTAACGCAATATGCAATCAAATGCTTTTAGGATGCAAATCATATCAGTGTTTCTCAAAACACAACTCTTATGTCATATACTTTGTAAAATTAGTATAAGGATTTGAAAAATAAAATGTATTCTTCATAACTTTGTACATATTTTATTGCCTCCTCTTTAATTAGATTTTCAGTTATAAGAATATTTTACTTTCATTGGATCCATATTCAATTGCTAACTGATGGAGGTAGAGCCAACAACAATACAAGTAAAGAAAATCTACCTATGTTGCATTTCAAATAATTTCAATGCACTTATTTATACTCACAAAATTAAATATTCTTCAAATTAACACTAAATAGGATTTAATTAAAACAATTACTTAGATACATCTTTTTAATTTAACCAATAATATCACACAATATATTTTAAAGCTCAATAAAGTAATGAATAAGCTAAGCTTAACTTAAAATCTTACTGACCAGACTCATTACACCTTTAAAAGCTAAAATAAATTAATGTTTGCACATCCTACTCTGACTTGACCAGTTTTGGTGCCATGTGAATAAGAGATAAAAAGGCGTTGAAGATACCACGGTGCTGTATGCCGGGCCACAGAAGCATCACCGTCGAGAGAATGTACAACAGGAAAATGTTGCTGATTGATGACGAAATCCAAGCCAAGGTGCACAGCATACTGATGGAAATTATATAGTACTGAAAACAACAAAATATCATTAGAACTGGGGTCCTAAGGTCATTAGAATTTGTCTTGTTCATAATGAACTAATTTTCAGATCTAATACTATTTCAGCTTAATTATACTGAATGGAGGTAGTTTCAGGAATCATAAAATTGAATCTTACCATGCATGGACTGGTATCCCTCAAAGAGTAAAAGGATCTAATCTGGTTCAATGTTTTGTTGTAGTGTACTACAATACTCCGGCAAATTTCTTCAAACATCTTCTCCTTTTGGCCAGTCCAGGATGCTGGGCCGTAGAGTGAGTTACATATGACCGGGACGATGAAGTCAACAAAGTTCAGCATGAGTCCTACCAAAGCAAAGGTAGCCAAAGAACTCATATCCAGTAGCCAAATTAAAAGGTACAGAAATGAGACTGTGCCTATTATAGCACATGGATGCCATTGTTGCTCCCATAAAATGATTGATTTTAGCGGTATCAGGGCTACACGCCAGCCCTCTAAAAATCTTTTCAATTTTTTAACTTGCTGCTCCTAGAACAAAGAATAATAAGTGCCTACTTTATTTTACAGATTTTTGAGATGAGTGAGCTATACAGTTTAGGTAATAAATGTAAAATAAATACGAATAAATAATTTAGAAATGAGAAAAGAAGGTACAATAGAAATTATTCATGATCAAGAATGTTCTTAAATTTCTTTGGAATTAATTAAATTACCTGGTCTTGTAGAACGATATCAGCCATTTTTAATGTAATTTCAGATTTATTAGTCCAATTTACTCGTAGGCAAGTTATAAAAGGGGAAAAAGCAGCGCTTTCGCTCTAATTAAATTCTTCAAAACAAATCCCAACCAGGCGGGCCGAGAAAAATGGTGAAAAGTGGCAGATCGATGCACAGATTAAACAGCAGAGATGACAGTGTAGTGATGTGCGAAACCATTTCATTTTATCGATACTCACCTTGAGTCATAGCGTTGAGTTAACAAAATTACAGATGGCGCTTCTAGCTTCATCTTTTTCAAAAAGGAGGCGACATCAACTTGAGCTTAACTGAAAAACAGAGTGAAAAACATAACACTCCTTCTGTCGCAGTCGGGTAAAAATTTGAAAGTATGCCTTTTTGCTATATAGTCCTAACTCTTATCGATTCGTATTGGGTAGGTAGTTTTAAAATATGAAAAATGTATGGTATAAAAACAACAAAATATAACTATAGTAATATTTTAATAATCATTTACATCAAAAACTCGTATAAAAGTAATAATTTCTTAAAAATAAAATACGTATGTATTGACTACTCCAAATAACTAGCTTGATCAAACAACCATTTTTAATCTTAAAAAGTTTGAAACCAGAATCAAAACCATATTATGCAATTTTCATATTATTTTCACCAAATCGTAACTGCTTTGATAACAAAAGGTTCTAAATCGCATGCCAGGCGAAAGAGAGCCATAGAAAGCAGGAGATAGTTTCCATTTTATCAAACACAAAACTTTGGGGCTTATATTAATGTTTGGTGAATAACATCAAGTAGGCTAACGACAAAATAAGCCCGACTTTATCAATCGTTGTTACCGAAATTACAACTTATATGTCGACCGAAACCTACTTCTATTCTATCATAATTATAATTGTTCTGTTAATTCTATAAACTGTAAATAGAAACTAAAACTCATCTAAAATATCTGGAGAAATTTTTGGAATAATCAATAGTTATAAACTATATCCACACCAAGGCATAGTATTTTAAAACCAGTTACAGTACTGGCGTCACCTAGTAGCAAATTACATTTTATCAGATTTACTTAAAAAAACTGGAATATTTTAATTATTACATCTTAACCTAATGGAATAACTGATGTTTCACTGTTTATTTCACCCTGCGGAAATACCTCTTGCCTGGAACATTAGCTTTTTCATGTGTAAGAGTCTGAAAATAAAATAATAAATTGTTAATCAACAGAATCGAAATCTTCATAAGCAATGTCATGTATTGTGTTAAAATTATTGTACTTTTTCATCTATCATTATGATGCGATATTTTTATAAACACTCCCCCTTACTAATAAAAAGTTACACAGTTGTTGAACACTGTTTTAAAATGACATTTCCATACTAAACGTCACTTTAAAACACTGATCAACGAGCGTGTAAGTTTTATTAGTAAGGGGGTTAATTTCTACTTACTACAACACATTCATCTTCAGTGAATAAATAATGACGACCACATTTGTCGCCGCTTTCTGGAATCACTGAGTCTGTCTTTACTTCATGGTCGTTCACTAAAGTTGTAACACTCTGTAAATAAAGAAACAACTCATTATCATGGAATTTTAGTTTACTTGTGTTCCTACAAAGTTAAACATAATATTAATTTCAGTCTTGCAAAATCATTAAGCCTTGTGAGGCAGACAGGGGCGCAATGGTAGCAGATGAATTTTAAAATCGCACAGAGCTAAGCATAATCAACATGACGTCAATCGCCGCCCGGCGATTACGGCAAATGAACTAACGTAAAATTAAGCATGACAAAAAATCAATAAATCAATGGTTGAATTTATTTAACTGAATTAAGATAATTTACTTATTCTTTCAATTTGGTTTGCATCCAAAAAAAGTAGTTGGGAGAGAATATCCAATCAATGTCTTTTCAGGTTCACCTCTTATGTTGGTGTGAATAAATAATTTTCCATGTAATTTCTGCTGATCCTTTACACTTAACCCACACTACTTCTTTCTTTGTCATGCTTTATTTATAATTTTTACATTAAATATTTTACTTTACCTTGATGACACTATTAGGCATAGTTTCTTCATACTCTTCGCCAAGCTTGAACGAATACTGTACAGTTCTTATGAGCGAAGAGGTTTTGATGGTCATCGTTTCACCATCTAAGGTTATTTCCATTAGTGGTGATGACATTGCCATCATTTTCCGACCCATGAATGGGACACCTGAAACAGTATGAAGCCTTACTTAAAAAAACTGTCTCACATTTTTCCTTTAATATTAATATTAATTTAATCAATGTAAATTATTAAATTATTTCAACACTTCCAAAGGATTCTGGAAAAAACTAATTAATGTAATATTTGTATAATTAATAACTAATAAAAACATAAATTGTACTAGTTTTAGTGTTTAACAGTCACCTGTTAATTTCTTTAAAATAAATAAAATGGATTTTAATATTACTTAACAGTTGGCTATTAAAATTTTACTTTTAACATACGAACTTCTGAGACATGCTATTAATTGCTTTTAGCAACTGCAGCAATTTCTACCTATAATCTTTAGGCTGTTACTTATTTAATTCTTACTATTTTATTAACTAAAACTTACCAACTGCAATAAAATATTCATCAATATTTTCATTTTTGTAATGCTGATATTTTCCAGGGATAGACATTGGAAAGTTTTGAGCAGTGCTGACCTAAAAACTGAAATAAAATTATGGTTCCACAATTAATTAAAGTAGCTAATTATTACCTACTTAAATGATACAGCGGTGTGTGTTATTGATAAAGTAAATGATATAATAATTATTATCAATCACGTATTCAGATAAAGTGATAAAACTTGAACAAAATTTACATGTAGCAGCATGTAGCTATGCGTATCAAAGTTTCTGACAACCAATTTAATTAATATATAAATATTACAATAATTATTATATACCTTTTCAAGAACCTTTACAGCTGCGGTAATACAAATTTAAGTAAGATTAATAATTTTATTTGTTTTGGAGAAAAAGAAAACAACAAACTTGCTCGCTCACCACATTGACTTTTTACTTTTTCTGTGTTTATAGACTAGTGATGTAGTCACAACAGCTGCAGTAGTTCAATTTGCATTGATAGCTCATATCCATATCAATTGAAGTATTTTTATCACGATTAATGATAACACGATTCTTATCGCCTCGAGCCCTAGATGAATAGTTTTCATTCAAGCGCTTTTTTATCCACATTTCACAAAGAATGAAAATGATGATCAGGCCTAAGTAAGATGGAAGCGAGCTTCACCTGGAATCTTCAACCACAGAGGAACTGGCTAACTACATCTAACTGCCGGAACGGAACAATGCTATTTACACATTGGTATTATGGTGACAGACCGGCGGGCTAAGAACAAGACCTACCACCAACCAAACTAAACAGGAAAATCTACCCTCACTGGGAATAAGATCCTTGGCCCTTTGGGTCTAGACCTCAGAGCGCAGAGGCAGCTTCATCTTACATAACTAAGGTAAAAATCATATTTGATGTTAACTCACATACCTATTCAGATTCACTAGTGTTTGACATTTACAAAATAGCAGAACTTATAGAAAATCTTAGCCAATCCAATGAAGTAGGTAGTTGTTTTTTATAATTTTTTAGACATAATATTATAACACAAGAGAAAGTTCAAAAAGTTTGTCAAGCGCTAACATTAAAACTTTGGTTAAATATTAATAAACATTTTTGATAAAAATACTCTTTAATTTAAATTTTACTAGCTGACCCGGCGAACTCTGTTCCGCCTTAAAGGCAATAAATAAGCAAATCTTTCCTTATATTAATCGGAATAGGTTGTGTGATTCTTTCAGGCCGTGCATTTTCGCATGTCGCGTGCGCTATGGAAACTGCTGGGAAGGGGTATCTTTGTTCAACAATTACGTCGAAACTAATAGACGTAGACTAATAAATTTACATTCGTTTTGTAGAATAACTCAAATATTAAAAATACAATGCAAATAAAACATACCTTAACGACCTGGTTTTTCTTGTGTTGGAAAATAACTGAAAAAGAAGCGAAAAAAGTAATTTATTTTTCTAATTAAATCCATTCTTACTCCCATAAAATGTATGAAACTTGTGTCTGCTTTCTTCTTCTACTAATAGATAATTTTATTGGCTATCTCATGATTTAAATTTTTACCTATTAATGTTAAGCTACCCACGCTTTCACTTGTTTTTTAAAGAAGAGGTGTAAACTAAAAATTAAAAACTTAAATCGATGTAATATTTCGAGAAATGGGTCAGGCCCCAAATTTAAAGTATTTTCATCGATAAAATTGTCCATAGATTATGCCCTTAAAGTTTGATCACTACATGCCCGGACACACTGTATAGATAGATTCTTATTTAAACAAAATTCTAGAAAATTTAAAAATGTACTAATTGAATATTCAAAATTCAAATGGATTTCAATTCAATAACGCAATTTTGACAACACTGGTGAATGGTGACATTTGTTTGACAACGTTGCGTAATGAAGTTCGTTCTTAAACCTAATAAAAAATCAAGGATCGCTTTTAACACAAACACACTTTTTATTTCGGTAATTTCGTAATTCATAGTTATATTTTGCCTCAGTAAGTACGTTTGAAGAGTTATAGGTTTTATGAGTAAAAGAAACTGGTAATAAGTTGCAATGGCTTGTCAAAAAAAAATCATAATTTTTGTTAGTCATAAATGGCAACATCATGTTTTGAACAACTTGGGTGTGTAAAAAAATTCTACAATGACATGTGTGAGTGAGATGTGAAGTCAATCTGAAATGTGAATTTTATGTTTTGAATTTTAATAACGATACGAAACGAAATCTTGAATTATAAGGATACTAATGATGTTAATCTAAATTCAGTTACTCAGTGTTACTTAAGTATATTTGTTAGTTTTTATTAAGTTCGGTATTATTCCGATTTAAACAAGGGATTGTTGATCGATTACATCTTAGTTTTTTTTATTATTGTGGGTGCCTGTATACATTTGTGAAAATGGGTGATAAAGAGGACTATATAACATCCTATCGAGTGTTTTTTGAGAACTTTGCGGCGAATGTAAATCCGGAGGACCAACTCCCTGTACATATTGCTGGATACACTATAACCGAGGCAGAGTTGCCTGGCGAAGTCCTATACTGGACTACACAATATCTGACGGAAAAGTAAGTTGATACAAGTATGATAATTGTTAGATATCATATCTTGCACAAATATTTTGTCTTCTGATACAACTAAATTTAAAAATGTCAGTGAACTTTTTTTAGTACAATCAACAGCTAGCATTACCGAACATTTGAAATCTAATTGGAACTAAGCATGATAGTTGCAACACAGAATGCCTATAGTCACAATGGGGATGTTGCCTGGGTCAAAAAGCAAGAGTTTTAATTAGTCCGCCAGTTAACTTATCAAAAAATACTCTACACGTATTTTTCACTTTTTCAAACTAATGAAAATTTAAAGAGATAAAGCGCGCCAAAGTTCATAAGAAGAGGCCCGTGACGTCAACGCTTGCTTAAAAATGCCGCACGTCGTAACGTCGTGCGCAACTTCAACGCACCATAACTATGTAATTATTTGTTAGATTGACAAATAAAAATATATGTGTCCAATATTTTTTGATATTAAACATTACGGACTAAAAAAAAATTTTTAGGCAACTAGCCTATTTCCCAATAATTAGTTTTTCAGTATACCTACATTACAAAATACTTACTTTTTATTCTCACCACTACTTTGGGAACTATTTTTATATCTTTTTGGGAACCAGGCCTTAAGATCAGCTGTGAAAGAATACTGTGTAACAATTTAATTAATATGCCTATCAATATCCATCTAAAGAACTTAGTTAAAAGGAATAAAATTTGTCTAAACAACTGTATTTCCATAGATTTATAAAATAGATATAATATTTCATTGTTACTAATTCAAATCCTTTATTATTAGGCTACACAATACATGTAGGTTTTGACCTTTGAAAGGCATAACTGTCCTCTTTCAGTACAATGAAATTATTAATAAATCTAACAATGGTTAACTCCCCTGTAAATTAATTACAATACTATATTATAGTACTTATACAGTATAGGCAATTCATATTAATTATTATGTTAGGAAGAAAAATATTTGAATTATTTTATGAAAGTGGTATCTTGCCTTGGGCTACATATTATCATATAGGTACCTACTACAGTTTTGTGATACAAAACAAAATATGATAACTTTATTATGTACATTTGTTTTGCTCACAAAGAAGAATAGGTACCTACATAATTTTGTCTGCCGCATTACTGCTTATGAATGGCACATTTAGTGCGTCAGCAATACAGTAGACAAATAAATTTTCTGAAGTTTGCAATGTGTCTGAAATAATAATACCTAGTTATATGTAGGTACTAAATAAGTACCATAGTGGCTTTTCACAGTACAAAAATATTGTACTTTTCTAATAACCAAAAATATGCTGTGGCTTATCACCATTTAAAATCCTTTATAGTACATTTTTCTATTTAATGTTGATTTTGATGTGAGGAAAAGAATAAACATGTTCTAGTTGTATTAGTGTATGTATAGGGATTGTATGAATAAGGACCTGTAATGTCTAATAAGATTTATTTTTTTACTATTTTTTAATTATTCAGAAAAAGAATATTTATTTATCAAACATTTTTAAAAATAAAACAGCACAAAAGTTTTATAACATGTTGGTTTATTCATAGAATATATAAAATATTCAAACTGTAATTTAACGTTTGCCGACGAGTGACGCCCAACAACAGGGGTCAAGGTCACAATACAGGTTGCAAGCTTTCTGAGCCGGCTGTGATGTAGTAGAGGAGATGAATTTGGCGTGCGTTATTTAAATTCCAACACAAACATCTAAAGATTTTTAGTAATAAAAATATGTGAAAAATCTAGTTAGAAAGTATCTAGGTAATTAATTTAACTATCTACTTCTATTAGGACATTGACTTGTTTGATAAATTACTGTTTGTACAAGTGTGGAATGTTGCTGTCATTGCCACAGACACAGAACTGTGTGAACTCGCGTGCATCGGTTATTTGGCGGGCGTTACCTGGCGCTGTTAGTTTGTCTGGTTTATTTTGTCACCAGTCATACCCTTATTTATTGTTATTAATTTGTTCGCGACTAGTTGATTTCTGGTGTTTCCTGCTTGCGTAACTTATGGTCGTGGGATAAACATAGAGCGATGTTACTCATCACCAGCGTACATTACGTACATGTTCCTACCCCCTATTTAGCATTGTGGCCAACTGAACATTTACTAGCCGAATCTATTTTCGATGTTGAACTACCTACTACCCTCGTTTTTAATAGCCCCAAAGAAGACCGAGAAACATTTGATTCCACTGAGAATGGAGACCACTGATGATTGCTCAAAATAAAGCCATTTCTCAGTCTCTATCCGCCATCCACGGGTGCACTTGATGCGAGACAAATATTTGGGTCAATCAGGACCGCGGTTTAATGTTTTCATCTGCCCTACGAATTTCCGAAAATCCCGACCCGGACACTATTCTGAAATCTCCTCTTCTATTTTTACGAAGAAAGCAATTCCCAGGAAAGACCACGTTCCTGGTTTTACCTGCATATTATTTTTGATAATGCAGCAGATTCAGACACCTGTCGTTTGTTTTCGGGCGATTTGCTGTAAACCCATATAGGGAACCGCTTTTTCGGTAGCAATCCTTTTGTTCTGATAATGGTCAACCTCGAATGATAAATGAATAAGGTGGAATTGACCCACCCTGGGTGTGTGTACTCTCTTATCTAATCGCTTTCGAGTTAACTAGGCTGGAAAGATTTAACATGATAATTAAGAACGTTTTAAACGATTTCGTCAGATGCATTAACATGAATATGTACTAAGGCTTAAGTGGTTTTGAAAAGCGAATCAATGCACCCTGAAGCGAAGTAAATGCCCTAGTACATTGATGCTTTTAAAAAGGTAAGCTGTTATAATATATGATACAGGATGGTTCGAAAACAGTAGACTATAAATCAAAAATGGCGCTATGAATGATTAAAAAATAAGAATAAAAGTTACGACGCTTTTAGATTTGAGTCTTTTCGTTTGTTTACCAACGAATCGCACTCCCCATAATACCAAAACTAAGTCGCAATAATGACCATAGAAATCGCCAAATATAGCCCATTCGCCTCCTATAGTTTACACGTACATGCAATTAGACGCTCCATTTAATCCAACTACGCCGTAAGAGAGCGTAAATTGTATGTTACGATGTCGGTGACTATTCCAACTTACATAATCGCCACTTTGGTGCACCAATCAATGCAAATTGCAACATAAGTTGCAACATTAAGGTTGCTGACACCTTTTCCTATTATTGTAAGAATCCATTCATAAACGAGCTTTTCTAAAGCCTACTACCATCCGAGTCCATCACCCGACCCAGTTCTCCGACCTGACTTGCATACGCATCATATTTCAGCACATTCCAACAACGAGAACACATTCATATTCAGCTAAAAGGGACCAGTGTAATGTTATGTTTTGACCACAACGTTAAAAGCATGTAGCTTGACGGTGGAGCCGAAGTAATACCACATAGTGCCGTAATCGTATTCTATACAATAATAAAATAATTGTCCAGGAACTTCATAATTTATGATGATTCTGTCCACGAATTCATTAGTATTATCATCGTAAGTTCCGCTTTTTACACAAAAATAATTAAGCAATAGATTACGCTAAGTACGTCATATTCCTTTCAAGCTATCTGATCTAACTCTTCAGTTTAATTTCACGTAACATAAATAGTATTCGTGGATACCATTGCATTCCAAATAAATTTAAAGCATTTTTCTTTGTGTGTATTATAATTTTCATCAATTTCGTTTCATTTAAAATGTAGAGTCTTTTCTAGTCGCGCCCATTTTCCTCCACTCGTCACTATGACTAATAGATGCTGGTGATGACGCGTTTGTGTACATGTACTTACCTACTTTATTAGTAATCATTCGTATGTAGCTCAATTGTGACCATGATTTTGAATATAAATAAATCTGCATCACATCAATCATGCTGATCACGAGATGTTTGTTTGAGCACTACCAATTGTTAATGTTTTTTCAGGTGCCGAATTTCTGATTACCATACAATACAAATATGCCTATGGTTTTGTTGTTTCAGATGGACAATTAAAGCTAATAATTGCTATGCATAACCATGTGTGCTAATGGTAACTTTAATTAACGTTCTTCACTATTATGTATTCTGTAACTCCACGCAATGTGTATGCAGAGCATTTCATTGACTACAATACACTGTTTATTATTATTTATCTACAGGAAAATATAATTTAAATTTCAACTAGGAAGTGGGCAGAAGCAAGACTGGTCATATCGTCGTTTCAGTGAAATTTCTTGCCAACAAAACGATAAGAACTTGTCACATAGAAAGAAACGTGGGAAAGGATGAAAGGATTTAATCTCTACATTGCACATTTGCATTATACCAACTTATTTCTATAATACCCTTATAGGTATTTTAGCTGTAAAAGGAAACTGCTAACAATACAGAGTCAGGTTACACGTTTCTTGGATGGGTGTAAGCTAGACGCTTCTGTGAGACTTGTAGCCATTCAGTAGCTCACATAATAGATTTGTAATTAGTCTTTCGTATTTTAGGATTTTATCTTCTCTTATCTTTCTGGAATATCTGGTAACAAGTTCACAAACCTGTTCACCCTGGTGATTGGCTTAGTATCCCCTGTGTAGTATTTATGGAGATCAGTGGCGGATTTACAGTTTTGCCGCCCGTAGACTAGGGTGGGGTTGGATCTTTATTTAGCTTTTATCTTCTGAAATCGAGTAAGCGTCATCTGAAATCTGCCGCCCCTAGGCCGCGGCCTATACGGCCTATTGACAGATCCAGGACTGATGGAGATCGTTTAATATCAAGAGTAATTCATTCATTCATATCTTCAAGTCGTTGGTAGAAAACCGTACCTGTGCGAGTATAGGGTCCATAGAGATACCTTTTCAGTTGATCTATGCGCTCTAGTGAATGTTGAATTCATTTTCACTTTAGCTGATGGTACATTGGTGTCGATTTCTCTAGGGCCTGTGGGCTGAGGTCGTAGGCTGACACAAATTGGCGCGAGCAGGGCGTGGGCGCGCGGATGCCGGCGATAGCGAGATGCGATGTCAACGCACCGGCCATTGTTTACTATCCCGACCCGATGTGTGCGTCTAACAAGCCCAAATGTAACACCGTATCTTCCCATTTCGCGATAAACCATTGTTTTATCAAATCAATATATCAAGTGCTTATCAATGAATGTAGAATAGGGATTTTCGTGCCATAAACTGAAAACTCTACAGAGTGGTACAAGAGATATCACCTGTGTAAAATCATTTAACATTTTGGTAAAATCTGGGTTACGTTACGTATGCGAGGTTTTGGTTGAATAGACAGTAAAATTAATCGTTGTAACTAAGACTAGAAAACACCTTCTACGCGTACGAATTTGTAGGCACATTAGGAAATGAATTCTTTCGGCGTCATAACGTTATCCGAAAAGAGTGCTCCAAAATTGTAAAATATCCAAGATTCTTTGTAACTTTGTCTCAATTTCACGGGATATGTTTTCGTCCCAGTTACAGGAGCACTGACCTCTTTATGTATTGTACGGACAGACGTACGTCCGCATTTTATTTTACCACTACAGCGGCCACGATTGCCGGGGGAGCCTAACACATGCCCGGCTCGACCGTACACCAAGTGAATGCCCGCGCTGTTTGTTTATCCTCCTATTCTATAGTTTAGAAGGTACGGTTGGTTAAAATTCCGTGCTCTATTAATACTACCTCCGAAGTACACGTCTATTTGCAGTCTATGTTTACTCACGTAATCATATCGCGCTGATAACACAAGTACCCGTATACCATACAAAATACAATACAGAATTTTTTTGCAAACATCTTGAAAGTGTTTCTTTTCTATGCTTCAATCAAACTCTTCTTCTTATTGATGTTTACAAGTACTTATCTTTCAGATTACAAATAAATGTAATCCGTGTTGGATTAACTGCATCGACATTGCTTTATCTCCTAGTAATTAATTGTCTATATCGTAAAAAAAATAATTTAGAAAGTTCATGATGTTTCTTACAAGAGCATTTACTTTTTTTCAGGCAATGCCCGCTGACACTGATGACCCCGCTGCGGCGGATTATACTTGACGAGGTGCGAGTAGCATCGAAGAAAACACCCAATGACTTTGGGTACAGAGCTGACGAATCAGGTGAGCTGGCTATTTATTGCGTTTCCTAGAATAACCCAGCCCACGAATTGTGGCTTACACATTTCTACAAATTGAGTCATCTAAGTAATCACCTGATTTCCCTTGCAAATTCTTTACAATCCCTATTAAATTAAAAGATGTCTTCTCAAAAATAGAACTAGGCTGTTTGAATATTTAAAATATTTGTGCGTTGCATCATAGTGCGTGCATATTTTATGTCAGTTGTTTTATTGCTTCTGAATGATGCATCAAAATATTTATATACACAAGTCTTGTCTCCAACAAAGATGCGACTCGATCGATAGTAAACATTGATTGGCCATTACCACATCCAAAGTTGGCTCTTGAAACGCTTGCGTCATCGTCTAATTAGGTCTAGCCTATATTAGTATGGTACATCAATTTGTTTGTTGTACTGAAGATTGCAGATATGATATCAGCGGTAATCTCGCTGTTTTGTCCGTTACATCATCTGAGCTGACCGTAAATATAACAGCGATGTGGTGTGGTGTTGTGGAATGTAGGGTAGAGCTACGCAAGTCATTGGCAACCCTCGTTTTCTACTTCCCACTTACGTGTCCGCGCTGCGATGGCGTGTGCAGCAGACTTGCGGCGACATGGGGGCTTTAATTGCGATCACATCGACAGTTTTATAGCAGCCATTATGAGGCCCTTAATAGCTTCTAAATTTGTAGTTTCGTTGCACCTAATCGTATTGTTTTAAATAGCAGCACAGCCGTATTTCAAAATTTACGTCGCACATTGAGAATGTTTTGTTGCTACTGAAAAATTTTAGGTGATTTTACTATTTTTACTACATGTACACGATTCTTTTTATTATTTAAGGGTTAGTACAGTCGAATAAATGGACTCTAGCTAGACCGTTTCAGATGCAACTTCGCTAAGTGGAGCTATTTGTTTCCATGTTATTTTTAAAGCTTAAATTCTATTATTTCATTTGTTATCATCAACAAAATATAGTATTGAATATCCAGTAATAAAATAGTAGCACCAATAACAACAACATTAACAAATAATATTTTTAGCCCAAATTATTTACCCTTTTATTGTTCCCTGAAAAACACCCCTAAATTCGCGTGTAGGTAATGACGGCACGGCGATGTATGCGGAAATGAATTATTTGCTTGAATTAAGCCCTCATTTCAGCGAGTGTAAGGTTGACTGAAACTTAAAATGGTTATCAGAGTTATCCACTTGCCTCTGGTATAGAGAGGGTCGTGACTCGTGACTCGTATGGTCAGCGTCAAATTGTTCGTGACACCCAAAGTTACCAATAAGTCCCCAACACATAAGGTTAACCTGCTGATAATGGTGGTAAAATAATGAGCCTTCATCATCATCATTATTTCAGCCATAGAACGTTCACTGCTGTACGTACATAGGCCACCCCCAATGATTTCCATGTTAACCGGTTGGTAGCGGCCTACGTCCAGCGCCTTATTTACAGATATGAGCCTTATTTATATTTAACCGTACTCGTCTCTTCTTTCCAGTGTACATAGCCCTGCGGCTAATGCAAGCGGTGACAGCGCGTGTGAACGCCATCTGCCTGCGGTATCTAGACAACTCGATGCTGGACTCCTTGCCGCCGCCGCCTCCGTTGGAGCAGCGAGACCTGAAGACGGTCTCGTGCGCCACCAAGAACTCCCGGAGGGTTATGGAGGACCGGCACGTTGAGATCGGCAACCTCGAAGCACTCTTTGGGATAGAGGTCAGGACCCCATAGACCTAGGATGCGCTTCGTGATAAGCTTTTATCGTGTCATTTTATCGTTTTTACGCGATAAGCCCATACATTTGTCGGCTAAAATCATCGATAAGATTTTATCACGGCGTGCATCCTAACCCGGCTGGTCAATGGTATTCGCTAGGTTTGCTTGTACCAAATTATTTACTGCTCTATTATTATTCGAGTATTTCTCAAAAAAAAATGTACATTTTGAAAAAAAAAAAGTGTGCTTTGAAACAGTTCAAAAGTTTTATATTTATAAATCATCACACAAAAAAAACACACACACAATTTTGAAGGATGAATATTTATCTTTAAGATAACGAAGAATTATAGCTATAATCCTGCTTATTACCAAATATTTAGATATTTTAAAAAAATAGTCCTTTTTTACCTTTCATACAAAAACCTGTTTGCCACCCTAGCTTTTTCATGTATTTTTGTTTCATAAAATGCGATACGTAACTAAATTATTGTAAATTTCTTTGTATTATCGTTCTACAGTAATCGCAGTTTCTGTATCAAATTGATTTTCTATGGGGTGTCATAATGAATTGGCAATTTAAAGCAAAAAAACAAAATGAGTCGCTCTCATTTACTATTTCGTTATTTACTCTTTAGTTACGATTTATTTCTACTTTCCCATGGTTTCTGAACAATTCCGTATTTATTTTACACGGACAACAATAGCTGCACTCTGAATGGCTGTTGGCCTGACGTCTCCGCCATAACATCTATCGCGAAAATTAGTGAAAACGTGTGTGTTTTGTGGGATTACTTTTTCGTAACAGGCAGTAAAATCAGCGATTTTATATAGAACGGTAAGTCTTCATTTAACCATTTTTTGTAATACGTGTGGTACGAACATTTAGTAAGCTTTTATATTTGCTGTAACAAATTTTATCAAAAAAATACTTGTTTCTGATCTCATTTTGTCTAATATTTCGTTACGTTTTTTGCGAATTTCGTTACGTTACGAAAAAGTACAACATAATGCTGAGTGTATACTGTTATTACCTGACTAAGCATAGTAATATTCACTACTTAATTAATTTCAAAAAATATAGAGCGTTAATAACAAAAGGATTGGATACTATCTGCTTTACAGAAGTGCCACCAGCAAAAAAATATCAAATCATTTAGATTACGTTTTTATGTGATTACTTCTTTTGTTTTTTTAGGAATGCCGCCAAAAACCAATGCCGAAAGGCAAAAAGCTTACAGAGAACGACTCAAAATGGATAAACATGATGGAACAAAAATAATTTTATTAAAATAGTATGAATGATTACTCCCTTATTTTATTTCTAACCCCTTAATATTACCCCGTATTTGGGTGCATACTTACAAATATTTCGAATTGAATAAATGAAGAGCATTCACAATATTTCGCCAATGTATAACAAGCCTTATGGCCTTACTATTTCGTTACTACCGTTTCGTTACGTACACTTTTTTTGAGAAATACTCATTACGAGGATAATTATTATGTTAAGGTTATTTATTGCGCAATTGTTTGTTTTCCCAAACGAAAATAAAATAAACTCTGTACCTCTAGTACGAAAAACTTTCGAGTTCGTTTCGTTGCGTATTCAAAGTGTCATCGAAAAATTTTGTATGAAAAATTAAACAGCGCCCCCTAGGGCGGCTATAATATAGGGGGCGCTGTTTAATTTTTCATACAAAATTTTTCGATGACACTTTGAATACGCAACGAAACGAACTCGAAAGTTTTTCCTACTAGAGGTACTGGTGTAGTTTGTAAACCATAACGATCTCGCACAGTTCATAGCAGCAATGATAGAGGGCGTGGGAGATCGTTGTAGATCGTGAGAAAAATAACATTGAAAATCTCCAAATTGTCGTGTTTACACTAGATTAGACAAACAGAAAAACAACTTTCTAAATCTAAAAATAGAAATGCTTGCATAAATAAATGTAGGCGACCGAAGAAATCATGCCAAAAACTAACATTTATTTATATTCCTTATGTTAGGCTATTTTAATCACTCCCATCAGTCCCATCTATGGTTTACGAGTCTTTGTGTCATTGGAGAACACTAAGAAGTTATCTTAATTTACTATCGATTGCATCAAGAAAGTCTAAACATATTATGGAACATAAATATGGAAGTGATTCAATAGTATTTATTTAACACTAGCTTTCCGCCCGCGGCTTCGCCCGCGTCGAATTTCGTTTGTTAAATTTTCCTGAATTTTCTTTGCTATAAACCTCACGGAGCCCGAGACCTTTCCAACGAATGCAAAACCGTGGAAATCGGTTCCTGCGTTCTGGAGTTATAGCGTCAGGAAGGAAAACCCGACTTATTTTTATATAGTAGATAAAGAATTTAAACTTATTTTAAGACGTTATATCTCAGGCTAACCTTTGAGTTAATTAACCCTGGGGACCTGTAAGTGATTCGTCAGTGTTCTGTATTTGTTTACAAACTTAATACAATCTTTATCCTCCTAATATAAATGAATGTTGGTATCGTGCAATGTGACGCGTTCTTCTTTACGTTAAATTGTCTGGAGCCGGCTTTAGAAGCTACGGGACTATTCCCTTGACCGCCAATAAAAAACCCAACCAGTGAAGGTCAAGTTTGTCTCGGGGGAAAGTTTAGAAGCTAGTATACCTCAGGGGAGGCCTATGTTCAGCAGTGGACGTCCTATGGCTGAAATGATGATGATGATGATACCTCAGGGGGCGTAGTATGAGTTTACGTCAAACGCATTCGATGTCGACTTCGTAAAAAAGTGACATTAAATGTATGACGCATTGTACAGCGCCCCTAGCGGAAACTTTCAAGAACTAAAATCTTCATATAATTTTTTAACATGCTCGCTAGTGACGGCGTTTAATGTAAACTCACACTAAGTCCTCTGTTTAAGGTTGGTTTTAGTGTCACGCGGACCGTCCGGTGCGGACCCGCTCCGCACGGCCAATCTGTATGAACTTCTAGGGAGCATATTAGAGTAATGCGGTCCGAAGGAACCGCTCCGCTCCCTAGCAGTTCATACAGATCGGCTGTGCGGAGCGATCCGCACTGACAATCCGCGTGACATACATTCATAAGTGCCACTTGTGGTCTAAACTGAATAAATATTTTTTGTTTTGATTTTTTTTTATTTTTTTTTTGACACTAAACCAGCCTAAGGGTAACGTTTACTGTTTGCTTGCAGACGACAGAGCCCACCAGTTTCTACGCTGTCTACGACGGGCACGCGGGCTCGGCGGCGGCGGTGTACTGCGCCGCGCACCTACACCAGTATTTGGTGGAGAGCGCGCACTTCGCCAGCGACCTGCGGCGGGCCATGCGCGATGCCTTCCTGCGCACCGACGCCGAGTTCGTACGCAAAAGCAATCAGGAGGTGAGATACGATCGTTGATCTGATGCATAGTGTACCACTGGTGCTACAGGATGTACTTACTGCACCAGTACCACTGCTTCTACGGAATGTGCGCACTTCGCCAGCGACTTGCGACGGGCCATGCGCGACGCCTTTCTGCGCACTGATGCTGAGTTCGTACGCAAAAGCAATCAGGAGGTGAGGTGTGCGCTCGTTGATGTGGAATCTAGCTATGCAGTACTGCTTCTACGGGGTGTGCACACTTTGCCAGTGACCTGTGATGCTCCATGCGAAACCGGATCAGATCCTGTGCACCGACGCGCCGAGTGCTTGCGCAAGAGCAATCAGGAGGTGAGACGCGCTTGTTGATGTGATACACGTACCACTACTGCTGCCACTGGGTGTACCTACTGCACCAGTTCTTGTGAAGAGTGTGCACTTCGCTAGCGATTTGCGGCGGGCCATGCGAGATTCCTTCTTGCCAACCGACGCCGAATTCGTGCGCAAGAGCAATCAGGAGGTGAGGCGCGAGCTCCTTGAATTCATACATTATAATAGTACTGCTTCTACGGGATACCTGGTGGAGAGCGCATTTCGCCAGCGACTTGCGCCACGTTATGTGCGACGCCTTTCTGCGCATCGACACCAAGTTCGTGTGCAAGAACAAGAAGGCGCGCACTCGTTGATGTTGTGACAACATCTACTGCTTACTACCTACTGCACCAGTACCTCGTGGAGAGCACACATTCGCTAGCCACCTGTGACGGGCCATGCGCGACACCTTCCTGCGCACCGGACGCTGAGTTCGTGCGCAAGAGCAACCAGGAGGTGAGACGCGCTTGTTGATGTGATACCTATGTAGCACTGCTTCTACGGGGTGTACCTACTGAACCAGTAGCTCGTAGAGCGCGCGCACTTCGCTAGGGACTTGCGGCGGGCCATGCGCGACGTCTTTCTAGTCGCCGAGTTCTTGCGCAAGAGAAACCAGGAGGTGAGAGAAACAACGAGACGCGCTCGTTGATATGATACTTATGTAGCACTGCTTCTAAGTGGTGTGCGCATTTCACCGGCACCTCGTGGAGAGCGCGCACTTTGCCAAGGTCCTGCGACGCGTCATGCGCGACGCCTTTCTGCGCCGAGTTTGTGCTCAAGAGCAACCAGGAGTTGAGACTCGCGCTTGGAGATGTCATACAAGTGTACCACTGCTGCTACGCGGTGTCCCTTCTACGCTAGCACCTCGTGGAGAGCGCCTACTTGGCCAGCGACCTGCGCTAAGTTCGTGCGTTAATCAAGGAGGTGAGATACGCGCTCATTAGTTGATTCCACACCGGATGATCCACCGAGCTTCGATCTATCAACTTGTAAGATAGTGATTGGTTTTCGGAATTTTTTTTGTCCTTTTTGGTAAAAACTATTACTTAAGTAATGTGATTGCTAAAATGTAATGTTTGTTTACAGCGAGCATGCGGCGGGAGCACAGCGGTGGCGGTGGCGGTCCGAGGGCGGCAGCTGCTGGCGGCGTGGGCGGGCGACTCGCTGGCGCTGCTGGCCAAGCGCATGCGCCTCATGCAGCTCGTGCGCCCGCACAAGCCCGGCCGCCAGGCGAGTCATCATCATCATCATCTTCATCATCTCAGCTAGAACTTTCACTGCTCAACATAGGCCTTCCCCAATAATTTCCATATTCTTCTTGTCGTGTCGACAACAAACGTACACAGTGTCAGCCCAAAATTCCGTCACAAGAGTAGCTATGTCAAATCTTCCTGCGTGCAGTTTTTTGGGCAGGCAGGGCACGACATCAAGTGCTTCGTCGACTGCGGAAACCAAACATGCACTCCAAGTTTGAGCCATCCAAGAACCCCTGAACAAATTGTCCTTACTACGGCCGACCTGCCTCCAAAGTCTATTTAAAGACTTCCAGGTACGCCAGGGGAGCTCATGTCCAGATGGAGGGCTCTCAGACATCGGAACAAAAGGGCAGGGAAGATCAGCTCTCTCACGCCATAAAACTGTATCTCTCTTTTGACCGATCGTCATGAAAAAGAGGTAACACACTTTTTACGAAATTTCTTCGGCTTTTCAACCTGTTTCCATGTTAACCGCTTGGTAGCGGACTGCGTCCAGCGCCTTCCTGCTACCTCTATGATGTCGTCCAATTTGTGGGTGGACGTCCCACGCTGCGGTTTCCCGTACGTGACCTCCCCTCTAGAACCTTGCTGCCCCATCGGCCTTCAGCTTTTCGTACTGTGCCCTGCCCATTGCCACTTTAGCTTGCTAATTCGTCGAGCTATGTCAGCGACTTTAGGTCGTTTACGGATCTCTCTGATTAAATCTCGTAAAGAAACACCGAGCATAGCCGTTTAAAATAAATAAATAAAATCTTTATTAAATTACTTATTTGACAGTTAAAACTCTAGTCTAATCTTATGCTACTAAAGGTAAGCCTAGAAAATTTCCCTGTATCTCAGGCGAAAAAAAAGTACATTCTGCATAGTATGCAGCGCCGTAAAATACACTCACCTCGTGGCGCTGCTGGCATCGATGACGGACGGATTTTTTTTGCGCCTTAGCACGTTATATCAACAGGGTAAAAAGGCACATTGTCGACAGCTACTTTTTTGTTAGACCTATCATATGTGGTGGTTGATTTCCTCTAGCCTGGTCAGAGGTAATCAGTGTGGAAAACTTTAATAAAGTTTTCTACTCAGAAGCACGCGCTTTATACATGAAGTCACTATTTAAGCTTTTTCCATGTCTTTTTTACTCCCAAAATAATTAATTAAAGATATTTTATCATAATAGGCTAGATGACAAAATTTCAATTATTTGTCCGCGAGACAGATAATTAGAAAATATTACGGCCGAATACTGAAACACTACTCAAATCTGGCACTCAGCTGACGGGCTCCTAAATTTAAGTATCCTTCAATTTTAAATGGTATTCTCAAACGCTACTCAACGGATTTGAAGCCGTGATCAGCTAAGCAGCTCTCAAATGTTTACATAATGGCAACATTTACCAAAAAAAGTATGTTTTCATTTACACAAATGATAACTTTACGTCTTTTATCCATTACACGCAGCATCGTTTGGTTATGTATTGTCTTTTATGGAAATATACTCAATCAACTTAACATAGAACAGTTTATTTTTAGTTTCTATTATATATAAATCTCGTTTTATCATATAAAAATTAATGCTTGCATTTTTATTTAATTAAAAAAATAATTTTAAATGTGATACATTTTATTGTTAAAATCTATTAAGTAGCGATCGTGGACCGAAACGTAACCACAATTGACATTTGTTGACAGAGCATCAAATTGACAAATCAACAACTCTTGGAAATGCTGCTATGCGATGTCCCCTTAATCCTCAGAAATAGGCATGTTTATGTAAAGCGATTTCATAGCAGCTATTTTGGTTGTTACTTCGTGTCTTCGTGCACTATACGATGCACAGTTGGCTGTTAGATGTGGAAGATATCACCTAGTACACGTTCATAACTTCCCGTTGCGTAGAACAGTAGGGTTATAATAAGTATATTTTGGTCCACTGGTTGTATGGCATTTGGTGAGGGGTTTCAAAGAGCTTCCAAATTATGAATCCAGAAACAACACCGTTTCTTTAGAGACGCGGAACCTCGCTCGGAGTTGCATGTCATTATAATAATATTTTTCAATAGCGTTCAGCCTTATTGCATTCCTGCGATTAGATCTAGGTATTTCCTCGAGGCTCGAAAGAAATTATAACGTCGACACACATTATTTACCACTATTTTGGTCGATTTAGGTATAAGAATAGGATTTAAGATACCGCGCAAGCACTCTCAAATTTAACAGCTGCTTAAGACGATTTGACAGTTGTTTGAGTAATGCTTAGCGTTGAATGGCGTTTCAGTATGCGAAAATTCATTTAAGTGGAGTTTGAGTGCAACTTAATTTGAGAGGTGCTTAAAAATTGAGAACTGCTCAGATTTTGTTTTGAGTATGCGAAATGTAAGTTTAGGAGCTGCTTAACTATTTGAGAAGCCGTCAAATATTTAAATGGCGTTTCAGTATTCGGCCGTTAGACTCATATTTTTTATTTCGATTTCAATACCCAGTCATCATCCCTATTAGAACACAAAATAAAATTAATTTAATTTCACAGGACGAAAGAGATCGAATAGAGTCATCAGGCGGCACTGTCATGTACTGGGGCACTTGGCGAGTCAACGGCCAATTGGCAGTTTCTCGAGCGATCGGTGAGTCAACCTTTCAGTGAAACAATTATTAACAAAATACTAAAAATTAATTGTCCTAGTCATACGACTTCAAAGTATCTACTTTTAACCGATTGTAATAGATGAGATGATAGCGTGATGGACCTAACCACATACTGCTTCCGTGCCTTATTAACGAATTAACAATTTGTTTAGCGAGAATGATGAGCTTTTTAAAATTCCTCTACATACTTCAAGTGGACTGAAACGGCGATGTTAAATATTACTTATGAATTATTTAAAAGTGTTGAAATGGTATCATAACACGTACGAAAACTTTAAATTGCATGAGAATGTGGAACTTGCAGTGTAATAATCGTTCCGTAAGCCAAGCAGTGGCATTTACAAGATTGTAAATTGCAGTAAAAAGACGGCCCATGAAAACTGCGCCGGCCTGTTTAAACGGGCCCGAATTTTTGACATATCTTACGCCCGGTCTGCCCGCCCGAATCGTTGGAAATATGGCTGTATAAAATGTATATGTTAGTGTCGTTCCTGTGAGGACATTTATTTTCATGAGCACTTCGTCCCAGATTAAGTTTTGTGGTGGACATAAACCTGTTTTACGGTGTAGTTTTTATCTTAATTTAAAAATGTTTACTACGAGTGCATTTATCAGATATACTTATTTAGGGAAAATCAAGAAACTCGAGAGCACTCCTTGATGTATTGAGAGATATCCTGTTTACGTAAGCGAAGAATAATGAACAGAGATTGGGGAAAAATGTGTAAAGGAGAAAGCGGCGATAGGCAGTAATGGAGATCCATTATCATCTCCTACGTAGCCAGTCTGTCAAGATATCTGGATTTATTGCATGTGAGATGGCATGTCACTGTTTGTTTATTATATTAGAGTTTAGCAACGTACTGAGAAGTAGATTAGAACTTCATAAAATAGAATGTAAAGTATTTTAGTTATTGTATTGCAAAGAACCGATTTTTTTTTACTGGACAATGTATGTTTGGTGTTAAAATAGCACTTCACTTAAATGTCACTGCTTCAAAGTATTTTAAGTACCCATAGTAAAAGTTTGGACTTGCACTTGAAAGTGTTGAAAAAAGCATTTAGATTTGTAGTAGTTGAATATTCAAAAAAATCTTTGTTTTAGTGCTTAATTTAAAGAAAGATTTTAATAATTCATAAGAAGTCAATAAAGATATTTCAACTGAGCGTACCTATATCAGATTCAATTCGCAAAACAAAGGGGTGTTCTCGGGGGCTGGTAGTACAACGCTAACGTGAAGTTAATCGGTCGTTTTATTGTTATTGGCGACTCTCGCGTCGCTCCATCGCATACTCTTATGACCAATAACGGGTGTGTTCTTAAATCATTGCAACAAGTGCCAAAATGGAATGCACATGTTTACAATTCATCGCGGGTGACTGTACATTGTACAGTCGGTCCTACAATAAGGCGCGTGCCGATCATTAAGCTGTTAGTCGGGGGATGAAACCCATTAATGTACTGCGATATCATTAATCATTGCTCTTAGAGATAATGGAGTCTTTTTAGCTTTTTACTTCCTCTGAAAAAACGAGCAATGTTAAAATTGGGTAGTCATTGGTTCAATTGTGTGTCTAAAAAGTAAAAAAACTAAAACCCAACTACGACAAAAAACGACGCTGAAAAAGTATAAAATAAGATTTTCAGAATACTGAACTGAACAAAGTTGCTAATGTACTTGCATAGTAATTTTAACCATATCTATAACCAGCGGACAATTAAGACGCTTCTAATGATTTATCGAATTCTGATAAGTAGTTTAGAAGTTACGAGGGAACCGATGAACATACATACATACATAGCCTGTCAAAATCATAACCCTCCTTTTGCTTTGCCGTAGTCGGGTAAAAATAAAATGTCAACGTGTATTCTCTATATTTTTTTTTATTTCCAATTTATCGATCGATACCTACAATAGAACTCAAGCGATATTTCAGGATTGCTAAGCTTGGTTTATTTTTGGTAGCAGGCGTTCTAGTATTACTAACTTACCTGGCTTTTCATTGAAAGTAGTAACTTATATTTTAAAACAAATTAAGTAATAATAAGTAACTACATTTTATACTTTACCTAGAACTGATTATGTTCTAATATTATTGAAACAAGTAGCCAATTAGGTATAAACAAAAGAAAGAAACATGTTTGGTGGACGTGTCCGAGATAAACCCAGTATTGTTTTGCTTTTCAAACAATGGAAAATAACACCGTTTTCCCCNTGAAAATATATCCACCTAACTTTATCCGTAACTATAAAAAAGGCGTTGTTTTTTTGTATGGAGTGTCAGATTTCTAACATTTGTTAAAGTTAAAGTAAGATGGTGCAACCCACCCAGCCTTAAACTTTTATTCACTGGTCTTGTATCCGTTTATTTCTATAATTGAACAAAATTGCGTCGCTAGCGGCGCGTGCGTCGTTTGTCTCGGACAACAATGAATTTGTGTTTGGTCCGTGCGGTTTTCCCGCCGCCCAGCGTTGCGGATGTGCGCTACGGTCACTTTTATACAGGGTTACCAGTTCAGTATTATTATTTTAATAATTGTTCCACTTTGTCGTTTAACTTTCCCCCTGGACAAACTTAACCTTTACTAGTTGGGTTTTTATTGGCGGTCAAGCTGTAGATCTTGGCTACACAGGAATTGCAGTGGTGGGAACGAGAAGTGGGAATAGTCCCGTTTCCACAATCGATTTCACCTCCGGGATCATCACTTTCCATTAGGTAGGACTTTCCAAATGCTGACCTGCTTTGAAATGCAGCTTTCTTCTTGTGGATAAAAAAGTAACAGTATGACTGAAAGCCTGGAACTAATTGTTAATAACTTAAAAAACAATATAACAATTTAGACAGAATCTCATTATTAACCAATATTTTTTTTAATTGGACCAATAAAATTGAATGAGCTCTAGATAAAAGATTTATTATTAGAACTAGTATTTGTCCACTGCGGATATCAGTTTCATCAGACATAAATTTATTCAGATTTATTTATTGCCTACATGCATAGTAAACAAAGTTGTAAATTAATCATAAACTATAACTAATGTAATACATGACAGTAGAATCTATACACATTTTTTTACATGTTTTGAGAAAAGAACTTTGTAAGTTACATATAAGTCATATTTACAATTATCCAGTAATAAAACAATGCCTTATTCTTTAATAAAAAATAAAAAAAATGACTGCATATCGTCAGCATGAGAAATTATTAATTCCCCATTTTAACTTTCAACCCCTTTTTGCGGCATAAAGTCTAATCCAACTTTAAACGTTCAAGCTATTTATTTTAATTTATCAAAATTACTCCAGTGGTTAAGGTTTGAAAAGATAACAGACACACAGTTCTTTTGGAATTTATATTATTCGCTTAGTAACAAACCTTGTAGCGACTTTTGACAGCCCTAGCACATTTCGTTCTAGATTGTTTCATATACAACTATTCAAATGGGCTGTATTGGCGTGACCAAAGCTATTACACGGTCATCTGTTATTTTTCTACCACTGTCTGTCTACCCACTTGTATTTCTTCGGATATTGCTAGCATTTCCATATAAATAGCAAATATTGAGCAAAAGCATTTGGGCCAGAGTCCTAGACTGTATTGTTTTTAACGTTTATATTAACCCTGAACTGAAAACAGCAGCCTACCTTATGAATGTTATTAATAATTATAAAATCATTTATTGTTTTCCGTCTAACTTACACATGACATTTTACTTGCTGTTTCGTTCGCGATTTCATTTATGGGCACAAGTAGTCGAAAATTGTATATCTGGTGAGCAAAACGACATTAAAATTTATGTTCTCGCCAAGATGTAAATATTTTCATATAGGGAAAATTATGAGGGTAGTTCATACATACATACTCTCTAATTCCTTATTTTATTTTACTCCTTGAACTCAATCATAAACTCTAAAAATCATCTCGCCTCGCTTTGAAAATAACACCATTTTCCCCCCGAAGGGTAGAAAACGGATATTTAGGTTCCAGCGTAGCTTGACCCACTATTAAGTGTGTGTGAGATAACACCTTGGATTTTAGAGCGAGACAGCACGATATCCCTACCTCAACACCCTCCCCGCGCGACCGTACCCCCACCTAGCGGCGCGCGCGCTGACTTGTTGCGCCGGGCGACTGGCGTCGCTGCTCAGTACTATCACACAGCCGGCAAGGCATTTAAATATAGTGGGTCAAGCTACGCTGGAACCTAAATATCCGTTTTCTACCCTTCGGGGGGAAAACGGTGTTATTTAGGTGTCCGAGCTACGCTTGACCCACTATTAAGTGTGTGTGAGAAGTGTTTATTTTCTGCCGGCGCTGCATGTCAGTACAACTAGTNCACCGTTTTCCCCCCGAAGGGTAGAAAACGGATATTTAGGTTCCAGCGTAGCTTGACCCACCATTAAGTGTGTGTGTGAGATAACACCTTGGATTTTAGAGCGAGACAGCACGATATCCCTACCTCAACACCCTCCCCGCGCGACCGTACCCCCACCTAGCGGCGCGCGCGCCGACTTGTTGCGCCGGGCGACTGGCGTCGCTGCTCAGTACTATCACACAGCCGGCAAGGCATTTAAATATAGTGGGTCAAGCTACGCTGGAACCTAAATATCCGTTTTCTACCCTTCGGGGGAATCTTATTGTTACCCAAAGTACATAATTATTATTTATACTTTGTTAAATCAACAACTCTGAGAGAGTAACATAAAATAAAAATACTTAAAATAATAAAAATACTTAAAATAATAAAAATAATCTCATCTTACAGTATAACTAATCAGTCTAGACTTTTAAGCATATTAATCACTAATTTGGTAAGTACCATTTTACTTATGAAGGAATCATGTTAATCATATTGGTGTAAATAATTGAAAAATATTACTATTAGTTTTAGTTTCACTAGATTGAGATCGTTGTAAAGCTTTGCAATAATGCTTGATAAATGTATCTTTGCTTCTCCAGTTTCCTCGCGCTAATATTTCATCAATGTTGATATGGTGCTTCAACCACATGNCAACTAGTTACTTTAGTTGACATGATTTTATGGATGTTGGTAGGGTAAAAATTAATTTAAATAAAATTCTGTTTAACATCACATTTTGTATTTATGTAATCTTATTGTTATCAAAGTACATAATTTATACTTTGTTAAATCAACAACTCTGAGAGAGTAACATAAAATAAAAATACTTCTTGCAAAAGAATAGTAAAATAGAAAATATAATAAAAATAATCTCATCTTTGAGTATAACTAATCAGTCTAGACTTTTAAGCCTATTAATCACTAATTTATAGGAATCATGTTAATCATATTGGTGTAAATAATTGAAAAATATTACTATTAGTTTTAGGTTCACTAGATTGAGATCTTTGTAATGCTTTGCAATAATGCTTGATAAATGTATCTTTGCTTCTCCAATTTCCTCGCGCTAATATTTCATCAATATTGATATGGTGCTTCAACCACATGTTGGAATTTACTGCGGCTCTAAAGCTGCCTGGAGAATCTTGAATGTTGGCTTCCCGAAACAGAGTCCTCAACCAGCCTGCTATTACAGTTCGTGAGGCCACATTGACTTTACCCCTTGTGGTGATAAATAGGCTGTTCAAATTCTGCCTAGCACTTCTTCGCTTTTGTGACAGACTAATAAGTGTTTTGATCCACACAACAGGGTTGAGCTTATTTGGTCCCTCATTTGACAACCTCCACCCAGCTTGTCGATAGGTTGAAGAGTCTGTTTTAGAGCCGAACTTGGGCCACAATATGATGTAGTCGTTCGCATCCTCAAAGAACTCTGAGCTTATGTCCAATAGTGTGAGGTCATGTATCCTTCGTCCTGAACACAGTAGCAAAAGCGCAGCAGTATGACGTGAAACTTGAAATATGCTTTCAACATCGATATTATAATGTTGAAGATATTCAATTAATATCCCCACATCCCAGGTAGTTGACTTTCTAGGAGGAGGTTTTGTAACCGATATGGCTTTCATCATTTGCTTTACTAATGGGTGTCCAGATAATGCCTCTGATTTTACTGGGTTGGCAAAGGTTGAAACAACCGATTTGTGGACGGCAATCGTACTTGGCGCCAACTTAGTCTCATTGTGTAGGTAGGACATAAACATGGCCAGGTGCCCAGGAGCTGGGTCATCCACTGCACATTTTCCTTTAGACCACGCGCGCCACTTTTCCCACGCCGTTCCGTATGTTTTTAAGGTCGATTTACGCCATGCTGATTCTAGTAGAGTTTTATCGTTTTCCGGCCAAGAGTCGACTAGATGGGCCCAGCCTGAACCCTCCATACCTGCAAATGTAGTTTCTCTGCAGCGGGTGGTGGTTTCCCGGTCTGCAGATCCACCAGGTGTCGGTGTAGGTTGTAAATTGTCAGCGGTGGGCTGAGGGCTCTTTGGTTCAGTTCCGTTTTCCAGAAAGTTTTCTCCCATCTTGGAGCCACTAATAGGTACTGTCCTGAACTCTTTTTCAGGTGCTGTAATATTCGAGGTATGAGAGGCGGTGGAGGGAAAATCCATCCGAGTTGGTAGTGCCAGGGCCTGCTGAAAGCGTTCACGAATGCACAATGATGGTCCCGTGCGTCCTCCGATACGTACTGATCCACGACCGCCGACTGTGAACTTGCAAACAGGTCTATTGTTGGGGAGCCCAGCTTGTTGAATATTATTTCTAACATCTGTTTTGATAGAGTCCATTCCGGCATCCCTTGAAATCTGGATAGGCTGTCGGCTAACTGGTTGTACCTCTCTGGTAGATAACGCGCAATGAGATGTATTTGATTGCGATGAGTTTCCTGGAGCATAACCGAAGTCATTTGTAGCAGTGTCGATGATTTTGTTCCCCCTTCCCTGTTGATGTAGGCGGCTACTGTTTTGTTGTCGGTTTGCGCTAAGATTGTTTGGCCTCGATATTTTGGGATTGCAATTTCGAGAGCTGTTTTCAGCGTCCATAACTCTTTCAAGTTGATATGCCATAGTAGTTGTTCCTTGCTCCAGGTACCGTTTATACTTAGGTCGTTCACTGTAGCTCCCCAGCCTTGATCGGATGCATCGGTGGTTATGAACACTGTTGGGTCTTTGTAGTGAATGGGGGTTGGTATGTTGATATTCTCTAGCCACCATTGTAGTTCTTGGGTTACATGTTGTGGTAGTGGGGATTTCTGGTTTTTGTTGTCTTCTGGCAACCGATTGGCTTCTATTTGGATCACTCTGCAATGTAGTTTTCCCAGTGGTACTACAAAAGCCGCAAAGTTGATGCTTCCTAGAGCAATTTTGGCGGTGTGCCATGTCCACCAGTTTCTTTTTAGCATCTTCTGCAGGAGGACGGTAAGTTTTTTGATTTTGATCACTGGAAGGTACTTGACGTTTTGCTCCGTATTCCATATTATACCAAGGTATTCTATTAGCTGTGTGGGGGTCACAATCGACTTTTCCATGTTGATACACCACCCCAGTTCTGATAGGCAATTTAGTACGTAGTGCGTTTGTTTTTGTAGTAGTACTGGATCGGTATTCATGATTAAAAAGTCGTCTAAATATACTAATATGCGAATGCCCACCGTCCTGAAATAATTTGCCAGCCAATTAGATATATTTGCAAAGGTGCATGGAGCAGTGGCAAGTCCAAAAGGTAAGCAAGTCATTGTATATACTTTATTTTTATAGGCGAAAGCTAGGAACCTTTGGTGAGCTTCAGCGATAGGAATGTGAAAATAGGCTTGAGACAGGTCTATTTTTGTCATGAAATCTGATGAATGTAAGCACAAAGGGATTCTAAAGTGATTAAGTAAACGGAATTTCGGAGGTCTCAAGTAATTATTTAGATATCTTAAATCAAAAATTGGGCGGTTTGATCCATCAGATTTCCGACGTAAGAATAAAGGAGATAGTAATCCTGACTTATTTTTGCATGAGCGTGCAGCGCCTGATCTCAGCATTTTGTTAATTTCATGAGACATTTCTGAGGATGACGTGGTTTGATAACGCTGGATACACGCTTTAGTAAATCTGTATATAGGTGGAGCACTAATGAATGGTATGCGATAGCCAGACAAGGTAGCTATAATATTATTTGGTGCTTCCAGTGCTTTCCATGCTTGTAGATATTTACTCACCTGTCCTGCCCGAAATTTACCATTTTTTATTTTTATTTTGCTTGGTAGGAGCGCGTTTCGTTTGAAATCTAGGTCTGTCTGTTCTGCGATTGGTGGAATTTCTGTGAGCATATGTCGAATGGGTCCTGTCCCGATTCTCCGACGATGATGCAGGGGGTATTTTCCTTTCCCTTGGTGCAGACCGANTTGGTAGGAGCGCGTTTCGTTTGAAATCTAGGTCTGTCTGTTCTGCGATTGGTGGAATTTCTGTGAGTATATGTCGAATGAGTCCTGTCCTGATTCTCCGACGATGATGCAGGGGGTATTTTCCTTTCCCTTGGTGCAGACCGATTTGTGAACGCTGATGTGGGTATATTCCTTCGTTTGCCAGGAAAAAGCTTGGAGACACCACCTTGCTCCTTAACAAATTCTGAAAGTTGAGGTTCGGCAAATAAGTGGGTCTCCGATGGAGGTATCCCATGAAGCAAATCGTTCAGCGTCTTATTTGTTGGTTTGTATATGCCTCTTCTTTGTTGAATCACTTCAGCACGTTTGCCGCAAACATATTGCAAAAGGGAATCTGAGGTTTTACGAAAGGTCGACTCTGAGGTTAGAAAGTGNACTGAAGGAGGAGAGCTCTTATATATCTCTTGAAATGTGTGACGTTGCTGTAATAGTCCATGTGTGATGGCTGCAAGACATAGGTCCATTTTCTCTAATATAGAAACAAGTTGCCAAGTAGGTGTCACTGTAGCTAAATTGCCATTCACTTTAAGAGAAGTAAAGGCTGGGGTTGCCTGAAACGTTTTTTGTACGTCAGCATACCGGATGTTTTGCCAGCTTTCAGAATTAAACCTCTGACAATCACAGCCTTGTTTTACTAGAGTCTCGTCGGCTTTAGTAATCTTGGCTTCAGATTCTTTGGTACCCGGAGTGAAGTCTTCAAGTGGTTCCATCGTAGTATCCTCTTCATCCGCAACAGCAAAATTATCGTTATCACCTCCAAAGGATGGTGGGCGCCAGCTGTCTTCAACATTCCCGGTATTAAGCACCCCTTGGGGCTCTTCACCATTACTATGAAGTGGCGTTAAGGTAGATGAGCAAGGAGAGTACGCTGAGTCAGACGGGACTCCTTTGTTCAAAATCGTGTTCACATTTTCGTTGGTAGATTGAACTAATTGACAAAGCTTTTCGAGCAGAAAGTTTTGTTGCGCCATAAATTCGCTCATCCTGGGTTCTTTAGAGACAGGTGATTGGACTGGACTGTGAACTCTCTTTGAAGCTCTGGTACTAGCGATAGACTCAGATTCAGAAGCGGGAATGTGGTCTCCTCTTAAAATTTTTGAAGCTTCATGTCGCGGTAACAATTCGCCTTTAATTACGTTCACTGCATCAGGAAATTTGTTATCCGGGTGCACCGGGTGAATTTTGGCCATAATTGTCAGGGGAGTGTATATGAGCGCTCGCCCTATAGGCCAATTTATTAAAATTCGTTTTATCTTCCTATAGCGGCGTTCACTGAGAGTGTTTTCCGAACTATGGGCCCGGGCGAGTTTTACAGTGGGGACGGCAAACCGGAGTCTGCACTCCAAATCGGAGGATATGGACTCTCCGAAAAGGTCAGCGTAGGTGGGTGTATTGACGACCCAATCCCTCCAATTTTCTGGGTACACTTCATCCAGAATGCTTATAACGTTCTTGAAAAAGACTTCATCTTCAGCTGGGGGATCCCACTGGGACAGACGTCCCATAGTAGATTGCGCCATCTGGAAATATTGTTGTCAGTTTAGGCGCAGTCGACATGTCGTCTGCGCTGTATGAGCGGCAGACGACGGGCGGCTGGACGTTTGCGTAGGTGACGCGTCGTCTATTGGCACNGTTGGCACAGCCGACTGTCAGCTGTAAGTTTTTTTGCTTAGGGCTTTCCTAGCAACTTACATTCCGATATAATATTGTGAGTTTGCCGTCCTGGGAGCGGGCAATCACAAATTTCACGACATTATAATGCAAGGCTTTCTTGCATTTTAGTAAAATATATAAACTTTAAAGAGTACTTACATTTAATTTCTTCTATAATTTTTACACTGTACTTTCGTGCGTTCACTTTGGAAATCCAAGACGTACTGAGCAGCGACGCCAGTCGCCCGGCGCAACAAGTCAGCGCGCGCGCCGCTAGGTGGGGGTACGGTCGCGCGGGAAGGGTGTTGAGGTAGGGATATCGTGCTGTCTCGCTCTAAAATCCAAGGTGTTATCTCACACACACTTAATAGTGGGTCAAGCGTAGCTCGGACACCTAAATAACTGCAATAGATTGACATATTTTCGTAATTGTTTCTAATTGGTTTCTGTGTTTAGCATTTTATTAGCTCACGGAATAAATGATAAATGATTGTGTGTGCATTTCATTTTATAATCTGGTGATGTTTAGTTTAATTTCAATCGAAATCTAATAATAAATATGAACGAAATTACTTAAATAGAAGGCAGTGAATCAAAAACAATTATATTTGATGAAGCAATAAATAACAAAAAGATAGATAGCCATTGAATTGAAACCGAGGGAGTGGTTAGACGCGACTATCAGCTTCCATATTGGAAGCATGGCGACCTCCCTAGGCCACGGTGGTCGTTCACCCTGCATCGCGCGAGGAATGCCATTCAACGCGCACAAAAACTAGACAAATCTATCTACTGCAGCGAATTGGGTAAAGTCGACACTAGTAATCAATTTCCAAGACAGAATTAAAAAAAACATACTTTTTTAGCTCTGGGAACCAATTGGATTTTAATCAATAGAGTGGCGAACTCTTCACCTGATCACGTCAGATTCGTCTTTACCATTCTAAATCTATGGGAGAGTCGCGTTTTGACAGCTTCCTAAAAAGTATGTCAATTGACTAGGGTACTTAACCGTCCACTACCGTTTTGATCTCAAAATCGGTAACGGTAATTCGAAAATAATAAAGAACTTTGGAACACATTTTGCAGTTAGTTAGTCACGATGGAAGCAAATCGCATTGTAAAGATCAACAATAAATCTCGGATCGAAATAGAAGCTTTATAATTATTGTTACTAAGTTTAAAATTTAAGCACGCAAAAGTTCAAAAGTTTTACTTTTACAACGCGGAGTGAAAGTTATAGGAACATTGCCGACGTTATTAAGATGGAGAAGATTAATAATCCTAATAAATCGTTACCTCTTTATTCTTTACTCTGAGAATTCGATACGTTAGAATTTCAAGTCTGTAAGAAGATCTCGCAAGTTGGGATGTTTTGTTTTTTATAGAATCATTGTAAAAATTAACTCTACCGCTTCTGGAGCCTTTAAAATCTTAAGCAATGATTATATTGACCAGGATCTTGCAGTTCAAAAAAGATGGCCGTAATGACCGGCTTGTTATTCCAGGTCCAAGTTTGGAAACCAGACCAATAAAAACCCAATTAAAAATGCGAAAGTTATCCTCTAAATTAACATGACTTTACATCTGCAATCTCAAAACGAGTATCTCAATAAACGTTAAGCACCCGATACCGAGACGAGTGGTCTAAAATTATCTGACCTTGATCCCCTTGCGCCTGTAGTTGGAAGTGGTCACTTTTGCGACCACTACTGGCGCCATACTCCGTGGTAATGAATCATCATGTTACCATTTGAAGGGGATTTCATATTATGGACGATTAATCATCTTTTTCTTTATAAATAAACTCACTGAAAATGTTGTCGCTGTATTTTATTATGATGAGACAACTTGACTCAAATTAAGTGTCGCAATGTCCATTTATTTTATAACTTTATTGGGTTTTGTTTGTGAAGCTTAATGTGATTATTGTTATTCTTGTAACGTTCTGGAGGAACACGTGTAAGATAATTCTAAAATCGGCAGACATGTGGCTTGCATATTGTTTTCCTAAATAATGATTTTATTTCTCTTATGAAAGATGCGGCATTATGTTGTTTGTGTGACATACCCAGTATGTTATCCTTTGTTTTTTCTGTGAACATTTCACACACTTTCAGCTTTCATTTTGTCCTAAAGTTAGTGATAGAAAGATCTCTCTTCAGAGTGGGAAATGTCTGACCTTTTGGGAACCCTTTAACAAGCCCGATTTTCGGCTCTGTTAGAATTCACTTACATTACATTATTGGGTAATAGATGTTAAAGTGGTTTAACATTGAGTTTCGTATTACCTAAAGCAATTTTCTGTAATTACTGTGTGGATAATCTGTCGTCATGGTCGCGTGAATTTCAATTCACTTCGGAATCAGTAATATTTTTATTCAGCTTTTTTCAATGAGCAATCATCGTACATGACTTAACATAGATCTTGTGAGATTGTGTAGAAAAATAATGCTAACGAGCGTGTTATTAGTAGACTTGTTTTTCTTACTGTTAGCAACGAAAGGATTAACGCNATATTATTGGTTGCCCGAAACAATGCTTTTCCTTATCAAGATAACTTTTAACATGATCTCAAGTTTAGATCATGTTAAAGATAATAAATGGTGGGAAAAGTTTAGATTGTAACCTATTCCCACCTCTCTCTGTTGCAACTCTTGGATAGCCAGGTTCTACAACTTGACTACCAAGAAAATGTATAATAACAGCTCTTATGTTTCATAGTTCATCTTTGTAAGGAAGTTTAACACACTATCTTCATAGCCGTGTAGTTATACCAATATCAAGAACTTTCCTAGTTCCTAGAATGTAGTGATCAAAGATGCCCTATTACCTGGTGCAGCAAGTGCCGAGACATTAATCCCGCGTCATAACATCCTGACGAAGGTGGAGTTCAGTACACTATCGGCATAACCGTGTAAATATAAAACTCATAAAACTCATTTATTTATGCAAGTAGGCTTTTAAAAAGCACTTCTACACGTCTCAATATTAACCCTACCACTGCTTTAGTCAGGACAATAAATGGGCCAGTGTAATAGAAATTACAAGTCCTTTCCTAAGATATAATGATCAAAGATGCCGTATTACATAGTGCAGCAAGTGCCGGGATATTAATACTGAGTCACAACATTCTGACGGCGGCCGATTTCCGCACACTATCTGCATAACCGTGTAAGTATAGCAATTACAAGTCTTTTCCTAGGATATAATGTTCAAAGCTGCTATTACGGTGCAGCAAAAGCAAGTGCCGGGACATGAATCCCGCGTCACAACTTTCTGACGGCGGCTGAGTTCAGTACACTATCTGCATAACCGTGTAAGTATAGCAATTACAAGTCCTTTCCTAGCATATAAAGATCAAAGCTGCTATTACCTGGTGCAGCAAGTGCCGGGACATTAATCCGGCGTCCCAACATTCTGACGACGGCTGAGTTCAGCACACTATCTGCATAACCGTGTAAGTATAGCAATTACAAGTCTTTTCCTAGGATATAATGTTCAAAGCTGGCATAATTATAAAGATCAAAGCTGCTATTACCTGGTGCAGCAAGTGCCGGGACAAGAATCCCGCGTCACAACTTTCTGACGGCGGCTGAGTTCCGCACACTATCTGCATAACCGTGTAAGTATAGCAATTACAAGTCCTTTCCTAGGATATAATGTTCAAAGCTGCTATTACGGTGCAGCAAAAGCAAGTGCCGGGACATGAATCCCGCGTCACAACTTTCTGACGGCGGCTGAGTTCCGCACACTATCTGCATAACCGTGTAAGTATAGCAATTACAAGTCTTTTCCTAGCATAATTATAAAGATCAAAGCTGCTATTACCTGGTGCAGCAANTCAAATTCAAAGTATTCGTGTTTGAAAGACATGTCTTATTAAAAGCATAAAATCTTCAAGGATTATTATCCTTAATTTAAAATTATTCCTAATGAAAAGAGATGTCACTATTAAATAGGATCTGTTGTTTTTACTCAACGTCTACTATTCTCGTCCCTTAGGTACAGTCAGCGTCAAAAAGTTTGTGACACCCAAAGTAGACAATAAGTTCGCAATGTGACGGTTGAAATAAGGTTGTATATTGTCAACTTTTTGACCAGTTTGGGTGTCACGGACTATTTGACGCTGACTGTACCTAATGACGTTGAAAATTTGTGAAAACTCCATTAAACCGTTTACACAGGCCTCAATCATACATACGGCAAGCTTTGCATTTTTGATATTAATCGGCCCGAGTGCATCGAATTATTACAGGATGGATCGACAATATTCATGTTTGAAAGGCATGTCTAAGTCTATGGCCATAGAATCTTGAAGGAAAATTATTTAAATTTATTCTTAATGTATCTTATTATGTTATTAATATCTGCTGTTGTGTTACTCAAATGTCTACTACCCTTTACTCGTCTGTCTTTTAAGTCTCCTCCCTTACGTAAATGGCGTTAAAAATTCGTGCAACTCCATTGAACCGTTTACAAAGGCCTCAATCACATACACGGCGAGCTTTGCATTTTTGAAACAATAGGCGCGAATGCATCGAATTACTGGACGGATTGTTGGGAGTTGCGCGCGTCGGCGCCGCGGCGGCGCTCCCCCGGCCTACGACCCCACTGCACGCGGTATCGATCACGTGGCCAGTGCAAGGGTAGGGATGGGTTACGTGTCGATCTAGGTCTGTAGGGCTGGCGGGATGTTAATGGTTTTGTGGACAATTTGATTTGAATGGAGTTAGTCAATACAGAAAGACTGAAATTTAAGTTTTTATTGCGTGCAGCGTCATTAAACTGTAAAATGAAAATAGTGAATTTCAATTTAACAGCAACAACAACGATAGGTATACCTTATAATGCGCCGACATTGGTATAAGTGTTCTGATACTACGAGTAATTCTTTATGTTCGAAATAAAATCTTGTGTGTTGTAAAGTTCTGTGAGTTTAGCATTGAGTCTAATATTTATTACCTCAAATGATAGCAGTTTATCGATGACAATGTCCCCTAAAAGTAACAACCCTCAATATCGTCGACGGCTTAGTTACAATATAATGTTGACATTTTCTTCACGGCTTTCCGCAGCCAATGACCGGCTCTATCCCCAAGTATCGAGTCCTAAACCCATCGATTCGCGTTCCACGGGAGATTAACTGCGGAAACGTTTACTAAGACTCCCTTCGATTACGAGAACCGAGCTCTGATTTTTATGCAAGATTAGATACACCGGCCTATAAGCCATTCGGGGTCGGATACGAGAACAGTTTTGCGTACTCAACATAAGCGTGAAACTTTTTCTAAATGTAAATAAGAGGCCAGCGTATCTCTTGGTCTTGGACATACAAACTAAATTATGAAATGTTACAAAACTCAACTGATTTATTGTAGAAACTTACAATATGAATATTTGGTATTAAGAATGAAATGCGCGGAACTTTCTAATTATAATAATTATGAAATATATCCAGCAACACTGATTATAACAGTAGTTTTTTAAATTATAACGAGTAACATTTTTAATTAGATATGGAGTGGAGATGATGACAACAATTTTACACGTACATTGTAGATCTCGCTAATAAAAGTAGATAGTAGCTGTTCGATCATAATAATAATTGAAAGGCCTTTAATCAGGCCTGTTTCAATCAGCCATACATACAAGGCACTTCGGTATAACACGTTAGACTTTTATTACTGTTGGTTGAAAAATTTTAGCTAATCATGCTCTTTTATTAAGTAATTCTCATTTCACACCAACTCTTAACTGAAAAAAAGTTTGATACGAGTATTTTTTACGTCAAATTAATTACAAATTCCTCATTGTCGTAGCAAAGTTAAAAGCTTAAACGTTTATACTCACGTATACTATAACTAAAATCAGTCTTTTTAGTGAAATGAACATTGACAGACAGATGACAGAAAGATACTAGGTATAGATCTCGCAATATTTTCACTTCTGTTACAAAGTTGAAAGCTTAGATGTTTTCCACTAATGTAAAGTTGAAACATTCTTACAAGTATCCTAGTGAAATTATCATCTTTTAAAAAATATATTAGAAAGCATTTATTAGCTTGGTATATTTAACATCTTTTTCATGACTGATGAGCTAATGGTAGACTTTTTGTATCAAGGTGACGCACAATACAAGCCGTACGTGACGGCGCGGCCTGAGACAGCCACGGTGGACCTGGATGGAGACGAGGACTTCGTGGTGGTGGCCTGTGATGGACTCTGGGACTTTGTCAGCGAAGACGACGTCGCGCTCTCCGTCTACAGGCAACTGGCTGCAGACCCTGGTAAGTGAATTGTAGCTAGTTATAGTTCTTAGAACGCGTATCAAAAATCCTGGCGGATGATATTCAGAATTAAAAAGATAGCACCTTCATCATGTGTGACGGCCTTTATTCTGTTTCTCTCTCTCAATCACTTAATAATGAGACAAAGACGATAAAATCGTTTTGCGATTTAAACCCCTGAAACAAAGCTTAGTCACTACAACAAGGTTAGTCCAACTGCGATTGGTTCAGCCGCTAACCTTGTATCGACACTGTTGACAATACTCCGTGACTCACCGTCAATTGGTAGACAGGAATATAAAACTGCATTCAGTCATATCAAGGTCAATGTTTTAATTGTAGGCGCCTATAAGGTGGCAAATTAGAAATTCGACTCGGACGTACTAAAATATCAATTGAGTTATTGTTTCGTATTCATGAAGCTGAATCGCCTTGTTATTGTTCAGGTGAAACTGTCACATGTTTTGCATTTTGTTTTGTTTCGCTAATACTTATATTAAAACGTGTTCAATACAAATATGACAAGACAGATAATGACAAAGTTTACAACAGTAGGTATGCATTTGGCAAATGACGTTGATTGGCATGCCTTTGGTACATTACTGTACAGGGTCACATGATTGTGACGCAACGTATTGTTGTGAAAGCTGAGTGCCCTTGTCAAGCCAGCCCAACAAGACCCTCGGCTGTTAAAGCTACACTTCGACTTCACAGGTTTCATTTACCAGTGGCTGCCACTGGGGAGACCTTTGAATTTTGGTTGTAACACTAACGGTGCCGCCCTCAAATCTCTGTGAAGTGTCTTTAATGGATCGCGACGCTCTGGGCGATAAGAGCTTTTATGTTTTCAACTGTTCTTGTTTTGTAAATATTAGGGCTTTTTATTGTGCCACTCTTGTTGTTAAGAAGGGGTGGGTTTAGAGGAACTCTCGTTCTAGATGTCGTTACTAGGAAGGTGGGGAAATCACCCTCTTTAATAAATGTTATCTTGACTTTTACTTACGCGTCATGTAATTATATCTGTTGATTATTATTTATTATTATTACACAAAAGGTGAAATTATGGAACATTAACAATTTTAGCAGGAAGTAATAAATAAAACAGAAATCACTCGTATCACGTGCCAGCAAATTGGATTGTTAGTTTATTATAATAACTCATGAATTATACAACGTGATGTCATAATAATCCAACTTTTTAACACTCATTATACAGGGGATGCAACCCCTCTTGCCAAACAGAATGACAAGGCCCATCATGACTGTGACACTTGCGGATTATCTTTATGTATGATGACACAATTATCAGATAGGTCGATGTTGTTGGCGTATTCAGCAGACATGACAGTGTATTATGGCTCACTAAACTCCGCACGATGTCGTGCACTATGCCCACCGACTGGAAATAAAACACACCTGTAGATGTGTATCGTCGTTTAGACGAGCACAGGTTTCTTTGTTTGAATAGGCCTTGCGAAAAAACCTAAGGAGAACAATGAGAGTGTATTTTATGTTCCGTAACGAGATTGCAGCGGTGCCTAGATTTCAGCCGGGCTGCGGTCGGGCCGCTGCCACAGCCCCACAATATTGTGTCGTAATTGCGTCGGAAGTGGGGAAGTGGAGAAATTGGATACTTTGTTTTGCCCCCAGTCGCAGCCCTGTCGCTCGCCCCTCTCACGCCATCGCTTCGGCTCGCGAAGCCTTTCCAATTATTTCCCAGCTAACGCATTCCACTACAAACTGTCCACCATTTCTGTTTTCAACACACAATCTTATAATTCACTAAAAGCTTCGGCAAATACATATAGCAATCAGTGTCGTAACTCATGTTCGAATCTCTTTTAAATAAAAAAATGTTAATTTAATATTCATTTGGGTGTTCCTAAACTCTTTAGTCGCCTTTCAACTTTACGCTCTGATGGACACTCGGGCAGTTTCATTGGATTATGCGATTTACAAGTTTAAATTGTCGCGAGGTCCGTATTCAAATAGGGGTGGGCTGGGCAGCCGGCACTAATACGCTCGGGGGCTATTGGCTTTTATTCCATGGACTTTACTTCTTTGAAATCGCTCTTGTGACCAAATTATAAGGTTTACATTAAATCGACGAATTAATTCAGGTGCCTCGCCTTGTCATATTGCACGCGGGGCGTAAGTCCTGTCACGTGACACGGGCTCAACTTGTCTGGCAAGCCTCATATTTAACCTCCGAAATAGTTTTAAGCTAAGCTGTTAGCATTTACAGTTGACGTATAGTGGATTTTGACAAAAAGTTCGTCAGCCTGAGCTTGATTTGTTAACTTTCAATAAAACTGCTACTGTTAACTAATGAGCAATTAATGCATTGGTGTCAAATGTTTTTCAAATAACTGCTAGTTGCGCTACCGTGACATTCCGGCTTGTGTTTGTGTACAAAAGCCACGGGTGTGGTGTCGAAGCCCGGCGGTCTGTCGCTGAAGATCTCGCCGTGATAACATTGTGTTCGCTGATAGAGCGATAACCGACGGCTCTGTGGACTGTGGACGCACACGACCACCGCGGCTCCACATTGCAACAGATTTTACAATACATAGCCAGGTTTATGTAATCCACCTGTCGGTTTTAATTGACGTTTCTAGAGTAAAAGAAACTACGCAATCACATGGAGGTTCCGCTATTGTCGTGTTTTGCATAATATCTACGTTGTACACATATTCAACCAACACACTTGATTGATTTCAATGACATTTCTGTCATGAGAATCAGTGCAAGATAGTGAAAGTTATTTATCGATTTACAATGTTTCACACGATCACTGTGTGAAAAACAAGTCCGTTACACTAACACTCCGTGATATTAGATAGCTTGGATGTAACAGTAAACGGTTGTAATTTGTTGGTATTGAATCAGTGGCATGCTAAATAAGTTTTCGATTGATATAAGTTTGGTCGTAGATGCGCGGGCGCATTGTGACAGGCATCGTTGGCAGCGGATCGGGCACCACGTGCGTGTGCGACCTTGACACTGTCCAACAAACACGCGTTATCTGCCAACTTTCATTCATTGCTTATCATCCGCGTGAAAACAGGACCCGGCTAGATGTTGTTTGATGCGTCATAGAGTCAAGACTCTGTTATCTAGTAAGGAAGTACTCTATTAACACTTTAGCTTGTTTAAGAGTTCAACAAACTAAGCCATCTATGAAATGTTATCATTGAGATTATGCAATTTAATTTCAAATTGCAAGAGGCATCATACTATTTTATGGATTAAGAAGATTAAGGCAATTTATTAAACCTTCAATTACAGTCGCAAAATGCTATTGAAATGGCCATTTTATTGACAAAATGAATATGTTACTCCTATTCTAAGTTATTACTTTAATGCGGCAAATTCTGGTTTAGCTTTTAATGGTCTAGACAACTTTTCTAACTTGGTGGTATCTATTATGACTCAAAATATTAATTTGATTGATGATCTAATTTTTTTTAAGTCTTCATTCGCCTTGTTTTAAATAAGTTCAACTAAGGCTACTTAAAGTAATTGTTGGCCACTTATTTTTAGAAAAGTCTCCATTATAAACAGTTGCCGCTCTAAAGTAGTCAATACGCATAATCGTCTCGCACCCTTAATAATATAGGGGCACAACTCAAAATTTTTGGTTTTTTACTTTTTGTACTAGAGAGGCACATTTTCGTCAGTTCTACAAGATGGCTTTCACAGAAATCGAAAACAATGATCAGATAAACGAGTTCTACATTTTGTGCCCCTTCCATACTTTCGTCTATCTTCCCGCTAGAAGGGCTGAATCAGAGACATGCCGATATTTGTCGAATCCGGCCCCCGCGACTGTGGTCCAATTTGGAGTTGTGCCTTTGTATGACAAACTTAAGTAAGTGTTAGTGAGCTAAGACTAATTAATNGGTCTGTTCTTTGACGATGAGTCACAGGCGCCAACTAGCGTTTAAAATTGGTTTGAAATGCCTAAATTATTTTAAACGCTCCGTTTAAAAAAAGAGAATGTGTATTGATTAATGAGAATGCAGCCCTACTTGCTAAACAAGGCGTGGACTATAGAGCTCATTAAAATGTATTGCTGGCGATAGCAGACGGTCGGCCCTTTCCTCTATCGCTGATACAGGTAGGAGGCGCAGGAGTCGCGACGTAATGTGCTTGATATGCGCTGCATTTGTGTACCACGTCTAGGAAATTGTATGGGAATGCGAGCCGGCCGATCGCTTGTAAGATTAAGCTATTACTGCTGAATCGCTAATAGCGGTACCGTGAGATATCATCTAATGCGGATACTATTTTAATTATATGCTAATGAATAACATTAGAAGTACGATTTGGGGTGCATTTATACTGGGTACAAAGAACTCCCATCGGGGACGCTCGTTTCACAAAAGTAATGGCGCAATTATAATATATCACCTGTCGTTATTTTATCTCCCGCGAGCTACTTCCCGCCCACAGAATCTTTTCCGCCTATCGCCCAATGACAGATATTATGCTAATGATTGAAATTAATGCACTCACTATTTCCTTATTGATAAACATTACAATAAGAATCGATCAACTTGTTGTTTTATGTTCGATGTTTCTCTATTTATCACATAAATGCAGAAAAATGGCACGTTTAAAAATATTTATGATGATCAGTGTCAGTGGCTTCTGATTTTAAGGTTTATGAGTCTTGATGAATAAATAAATATACTTGTACTAAATATATTATTATGAAATTAATTTACACCACTTGTGATCAAATATTTCAATTTCTATATGAATGAATATGAATTAACTAAGATGCTATGGAATGTGTGATAAATAAATACTATCTCACACTCATATTTAATTTAAATTACATATTTTACACGTTAGTGTGAACATATTCTCAAAAGGAGACTTTATCGGTAAATTACCGATGCATTAATTTCAATACATGTAGGATGTGGCTTATGGTTTAGAGTAGACCCAATTCATTTTGGGCTTCTTTTAAATGATTTGGATACATTTACAGC